TATGGCGACAGTGTCTCTTTAAGCCTAAATCCTCATATTTTGCTGAAGCCCGACAGTGATTGGTTTTATTTAAGAGTCTTGCCAGCATAGATGCATCAAAAAAAAAAAGTGAAGACTCAAGTTACACAAAGCTGGATAAAGCAGCCAAGAGCTTTCCAGCAGCTGAGCAGACGTGGCAGAACAGCTGAGCTCCCAAAGTAGTAACTCCAGAATACAGACAGAGTCAACCCAGCTCAGCACTGCACAGGTCTGGCGCTACAATCATCTGCCACCGCTACTATCATCACTATACAAAGCCATAGGAATTATTTTACACGTCTTTGTTATGCCTCATGATCATTTTTGCACCAAAATGTTCAATTCACAAAAAAATATTGTATTATTGTGAAATGGCTTTTTTTCCTGGATGGAAGGAACATTTAAAGTGACCGCTGTAATGCTGTAAACCAATCGATAATGAGAATTGTTGTCAACGATTCTCATTATTGATTAGTTGGAGTGCTTCTCTCCTTCGCACTAGGAGCTGGTGTTTCATCAGCTCAGTGTCCTCTTTGATCCCTGGCAGGGATTGGAAGGGACATAGACCCCTGCAGCGGTTGCCCAGCGGTGAAGAGCGCTCCCCCAAACCTCCTTCCTCCCACCGCATCGGCCCTGCTGCTCTCTGCTCCCGCTAGGAGCGTGCTGTGTTCCCGTCGATCCCCGCTGCTTTCCCCCACCTGTATCAGCAGAGGCAGCTGAAATTGGAGGCGACACCTAGCCAATCCACCTGCTGGTGCCCAGCGTATTGGAGAGAGCTGTCAAGAGGCCAAACAGGGCGGTGCGGGTAGTAGAGCTGCGGGATGATCAGCAAATATGTGAAATATGCTGATTATTCCCTGTAATATTCAAACATCACAGTGATCAGTACCGATGACTGCAATGTTTGTAAATAATTTAGGGCATATTATTTAGATACTGTGTCCCAAATTATGAATAAACAGGAAGTGATCTACATCACTTCACGTTCATTCATGATTGTAGACATGGTAAACAGATACCATCTCCTCAATTTATGAATGAACATGAAGCCTCTGTACTGAGTGCTTCCTGTTCGAGTGCTGGGGCTGCAGAAAAAGATTATACACTGTGTGTGCTCAAACTTTTTTCTAATTTAAAAAGGGAAAATTTTGCTGATATTTCCCCAAAGCCCCTAACAGTAAAGTTAAAAAGAAAACTATGAGGTGAGTGATTTTCACTCTTCCTCATAGTTCTAGCCGACCTGTGACAATGAGACTGTCACAGGTTGGCTCAGTAGATCGGGAGGTGAGCGAACACATGTAGCTCGCGGTATACTGAGCTTTGGGTGACGGCAGGACGCTAATTTGTGTCCTCCCGTTACCCTTAGGAGAACTATGGGGAAAAGCCCTAACCCCATAGTTCTCCTTTAAGAATAAGTCATTTTCAGTTACTGCCTGATAAATGCTGGCGCGGGAGGTGTGTTGAGGTGCCATTCATTTCAATGGCATCCCAAAGCCAGCTCCCACCTGCAGTGCCATCGCCTGCACTGGAACGCGCGCTACTGCAATGCTGTGCGTTCCAGTGTGGGGCACTTGCAAAAAACTATGCAAGCAGTTGTATTCTGAAGTAAACTTTATGTTTGGAACACTCCACTTCTGTATTTAATTTTAAATAAAGATGGTATTTTATCTTTTTTATTAATCCGATTAAATCGAAAAAATACTCAGCCAACTAATCGGTTATTAAAATAAATGTTGGCTGCAGCCCTAGACCGCTGTCGCTGAAAGCGAGGAAAAACCCAAACATGCAGTCATACGACCATTGCTCATTCTTTCATACCTCTGTCTGCTCCATCAGATTTGAGCCGTACAGTCCAGCTTCTGGAGCAAGTCGGGCCAGGTACCGGATAATGGAGTTCACGTCATTGAAAGTTACCCCTCTGCAAGAGACAGAAAGATGAGGATATTATAGACCGAAGCAGTGGAGCACCAAAAGAATTTATGGGAACTACTCAATTTAATATACTCTGCACACAACAGTGTGCAGAATATGCACCGAGCACCCGTGTCATTGTTCACATCACACATGATCAGCGGCAGGAAATCACAATTTAGAGTAAAATGACAGGGAGATTCATTGTGGAAAAAGAGCCGATACTCACTCTGACTCTCGCAGGACAGTCTCCTTCCCATCCTCCACATGGATCTCTACTTTGCCTTTTAGATGGTCCACAGTCCATAGTACAGCTGCAAGAAGAGAACACAGAGGACTTATGACTACATTGCAATTATGTGTGGGCTACCCCCGCACTGCAAGGGCTAAGTGCTCATTTTTGTGGGCTACCCCCATACTGCAAGGGTTAAGTGCTGGTTTTTGAGGGCTACCCCCATACTGCAAGGGTTAAGTGCTGGTTTTTGTGGGCTACCCCCATACTGCAAGGGTAAAGTGCTGGTTTTTGAGGGCTACCCCCGTACTGCAAGGGTTAAGTCCTCATTGTTGAGGGATACCCCCGCACTGCAAGGGTTAAGTGCTGGTTTTTGAGGGCTACCACCGCACTGCAAGGGTTAAGTGCTCATTGTTGAGGGATACCTTCACACTACAAGGGTTAAGTGCTCGTTTTTGCGGGCTACCCCCACACTGCAAGGGTTAAGTGCTGGTTTTGGAGGGCTACCCCTGCACTGCAAGGGTTAAGTGCTCATTGTTGAGGGCTATTCCCACACAGTTAATTGCTCATTTTTGTCTAGGTGCCAACAATAAAAAGTTATACTCACCAAACCATCCGAGCCGGCTCCCTGCCTCTGTGATCACTGAAGCATGTCTTCCCCCTCCTCTGCACAGATGGATTACTCCTCGATGTCCTCACATCTATACGCATTCTATGCACAGTGTATAGAGCACGATGGCACCAGGATTCTAAGACCGCTGCAGCAGAGGGGGAGAGGAGCTCCAGACACCGTCTAGGAACAAGCCGGCTCGGATAGTCTGGGGAGTATAACTATTTTTAGCGCCTAGACACAAACGAGGACTTAGCCCCACTGCAAGGGTTAAAAAAATGTTTTCCTGGAGTTCTTCTTTAATGTAATTTGTGGCATCGGATGATCAGAACAATTCCCTCTACTATAAACTTGTCTATACAAAACAGGTTCTACCTCTTCAAATTCTGCACCTCCTGCTGATTGATGGCTCAAGGGAACCCAGGTATTGCACACGCCCAGGATTATGCACAGAAGAAAACCATTTCACCTTCTAGGAAATTTCCAGTTACATCATAAAATGTTCAAATGAAAACTCTGTCACTATAAAAAAAGAAAAGAAACTGAAAGCAGCCAGCCTGTAATACTGTCATAATTGACATTAAACCCTCGATTTTTTCCTGCCGGAGGAACAACCAGGCGGCGAGGGAGCTGCCGGAGGAACAACCAGAGAGCGAGGGAGCTGCCGGAGGAACAACCAGAGGGCGAGGGAGCTGCAGGAGGAACAACCAGAGGGCGAGGGAGCTGCCGGAGGAACAACCAGAGGGCGAGGGAGCTGCCGGAGGAACAACCAGAGGGCGAGGGAACTGCCGGAGGAAAAGCAGACAGCGTGGGAGATGCTGGAGGAAAAGCAGACAGCGAGGGAGCTGCCGGAGGAAAAGCAGACAGCGTGGGAGATACAGGCACAAAATCCATCAGACGCCACAGGGTATGCAAGCCCAAAAAGTATTAGAAACCTGGCAGTATATACCATACACTAAATTAAGCCAGACAGTAATTTGTCAGTCAGTGGAAACCTAACCACGTGTTTGTGTCATGCCCCAACATGACCTTTAACTAAAGTAACTGAACCTGAAGGCAAATTGGAGGGACCCTTTGTGGACTCTGATTACTATATTTGCCCCTCTGATGTGTGGCAGCAGCCAGTTTATCCTTGTAACATTTTCTACATGATCCAAATAACGAGATCAGAAACACGCCCAATGACAGTCATATTTATTTGTATGGAACATCCTAGTGCGCAGCAGTAATGGAGAGAAGCAGCTGAATCACCATCCAGCAATAGAGACAAACCTATTACAGAAACCCATTAGCATCCTTCCCAATGGCTGTTTGGCTTTATTTTAGGACAGTAAGCCGTGCTGCATTATGCATTGCTCTGTCCATTAATCAGCCAAGATCAATGTCCATAAAAGAAAAGTAGAAATGGCGCTCTGCTGGCAAGATTCAAAGTCATTTCAGGGCCGGTTCTAAACCAAGTATTATTTTTTTTAATTTTTTTTAAAGAAAGGTATTCTGCCACAAAACACTAAAAATCAGCTTTTAAAGACCAACTCGAGCAAAACTTTTTTTCTTTGTTTTGGATAGTTACGTTTTTAATGCAGTCTGTAACCTGATTAGGGAAATTTCCGCTCACTTCCTGTCAGGACAAAAGGACATCTCTTCAAGAGAGAGACAAACTTTTTCAGTAAAATGGGGAAATTAGATCCTCTGTCTGGTTATTACTGTCCAAACTTTCCAGTCCCAGCGACAGCAGCTCCCATCACTTCCTGTCCTTGTCCTGCTGTCAGTGGCAGTCACATGGACAGGAAGTGAGGTGAAATCCCTCCAAGAGGTTCCCAAACAACAATACAAAATTGGCAGAAGTTTCTTCCAATGTTTTCCAAATTTAAAGTGTGTCAAGCCAAAAACTTTTTTTCCGAGTTTCGGCTGGATTGGGGAAGGACCAGAACCCTTGTCAGGTGGTTACTGCTCTCCGCGGCTCCGTTAGGGAGATTTTCCCTCGCTTCCTGTCTTGCTGAACAGTTTTACCTGACAGGATGAAAGGAACAATTTGACACAGGACACAGACAGCTATAAAAGATGTGATGGAGGTTTTACCCTTTCCTATTCTGAACAAAATAATTTGAATTTCTGTCTGTGTGGGTGAGTTCCACTCACTTCCTGTCTAGTAAAGCTTTGTCAGTAGAACAGGAAGTAAAGGTCAATCATGTTGTGGGTTCAGATATGCTTTAAAGCCCAACTACGGGCTAATTATTTTTATAGATGTCCCCAGATATTAAAAAACAAAAACAAACAATGGCTGCATTACTCTCCTTCAGTTCCAAAGCTGATACCCCACCTCCAACACTACATCATATTCGCCACAAAATGTCATCAGTTTTCCATATGAGGGCGTGGTGTCATGGCCCCGCCCCCTGAGCACAAGAATTCTGTATTCATAGTGTATTGATGCCGAGAGTGGTGACGATAACATCACTTCCGCGCCGGTCTCTGACTCATCCAGGACCAATGGGAGATGACCAAACAGTTTGTCATGTGATCATCCAGGGGGAAAAAAAACAAAAAAACACACACCTTGAAAAATCCACTCGTCCACGAGAGGACGGTGGAGCCCGACGAGCAGCTTCCCGGCCGGCCGTTGTAATTACACGGCCGGCTGGCAGCTTTACATTCAAGTGATCGGGCGTCTCTGGAGACGCTCGATCGTATGTATTAGCAGCTGTCACTGCCATTGCCGGTCCCGAGATCCGCTGTGCCCGATGCGGCCGGGACCAGCACGGCTCTGTGACAGGAGACCAAAGGGAGTTCAGTATACGATCTCTCTTTGATCTCCTCTCAGTCCCCAAATGCAGGAAGTGATGTATATTACATCACTTCCTGCAATCAGCGTCACTCTCCAGCTACAGAAGCTGAAGCAGATCTCTGCTCCATCAGCTAGTCTACTGAGCCGACCTGTGACAGTGAAAATCACTCACCTCATAGTTCTCCTTTAAAGTGGAACTAAAAAAGACCAGGAGGTAGGACCAGCAGTTTTTTGGCAGAGACTATGTCCAGTTCAATGTTTGTAAATTATACACGCACACACTAATATTTTGTTGGGCCGCCTTTACCTTTGATTACAGCATGCATTCGCTGTAGCATCATTTCGATCAGCTCATGCAATGTCACAACATTTATTTCCATCCAGAGCTGCATTCATTTTACACCGTGATCTTGTAGTGATGATGGGAGAGTCGGACCACTGCGTAAAGTTTACTCTAGCAAATCCCAAAGATTCTGAATGGGGTTAAGGTCTGGACTCTGTGGTGGCCGATCCATGTGTGACAATGATGACTCCTGCTCCCTGAGCCACTTTCACAATCTGAGCCCAATTAATCCTGACATTGTCATCTTGGAATCTGCCCAATGTGCCATCAGGGAAGAAAAAAAACAATTGATAGAAAAACCTGGACATCCAGTATATTTTGGGGACATGTTGCTGAACCTAGACCTGATCAGCTGAAGCAACTCCAGATAATAACACTAAATCCAGGTGATGACTTTTTTTGTTTTTGGCCAGCCAGTTTGTATTTGTATATACATGTTGCAGTCTCATGATATTAAGATTTGAATCTCTTTTATTACATCCTCTGGGTTTTTGCATAATTGTTACTAAAAAGGTGGAATCATTTTATTATTGTGTTGCACCTGTATTTGCTCAGATCTCAAATATCCTCATTACGGGTAAAACACTTTAATAGAGCTGAAAAAAAAACAGCAAAATACAGCATCAAGATGAGAGCATGCAAGCAATGCTACACCAGGGCCACAGTTGGCCATAAAGCCTCCAAAAGGGCTGATGCTGGTTGGGGAACCCAGAGAACAAGCTCTAGAAGAGGGAAGGTATTGCCTTCTGGTTTATCCATTTTATGTAATCCAGTGCAAAGAGAACATAATAAACTGAGCCATTCAAATATTACCCACAGCCAATCAGAATTCATCTGTCGCCAATCTGACCCCAGAACTCGGGAACCTATAGTAACGGTATGTTAGATATTTTCAGACATCATTGATACTCTTTCCACTGCTTTACTTCCTGGTGTCACTATTGCCATCAAGATTATTTTTATAAAATGTATTGTTTAGTACAAACACTTTGAATCACAAAACCAGCAACCAATGATTTAGAGGACAGACAAACATCTGAAAAGGATTATAATGGAGGTGTCCAAAGCATCCAATCAGATGCAAGCATCCCTTTCTGACCTGTTCTAGTGACAGGATACCAGGAAACAGACCAGTTCCTATTAACCACTTCCGTGCCGCAATACGTCTAGATACGGCAGCCCGCAGAAGTGGTTAAAACAAGAACACAGTTGCTGCACAAGTGATCCGGTGACGGTTTCACCGTGCAGCGCCCAGGACCGGCTTGGCGGGTCTGCCCGCAGCGATCGGAGAGAGATTCAGCGGCTTCTAGCCGCTGATCTCTCCTCTGATCACTGGACCTTGGGCTACTGCAGAGGAGGGGAAGAGACATTGGAAGGACTCTGAGCATCTGGTGAGTATAACCTTTTGTTTTTGAATCTAGACACAAGCACCTAACCCTTGTAGTGCAGGGGTAGCCCCACTCCAAGGGTTAATAAAAAACAAATTCCTGGAGTTCTTCTTTAAAACAGCCCCAGTACTATTTCCTTCTTTATGTGCTATCAATTTACATCAGCCCAGATATTAAGGGATTTGGCATCTGGTCCCACAGGAGAAGCACCCTAGACCAAGAGGAGTGCTGTGCATCTTATGGATTATGCCCTCAACTAGCTTCTGCAAATTTATTTTTGGGGTCCCCAGATTGACAGATAAGCAGTATACAGCACAGAAACTAAATTGAGGATTCCACAACACTGATGAAACACACAACACTTCGGGGTCTGCAAGCAAAGACCACTCTCCTGGCCCCTAGCGATCCTCAGGGATGCTCTGTGGGCCCCAAGCAAGAATGCTTTCCAGGCTCCAGCAATCAGCAGGAATGCTGTCCAGGATCCTAGCAGTTAGTGGCCTATTCTCTGGGACTCCAGCGATTAGTAAACCATTCTCCAGGTGTGTCCGGAGTGGTCAGCTGGCCATTCTCCTGTCCGTGTGTTCCATTCTCCAGGACCGGAGTGGTCAGCTGGCCATTCTTCTGTCCGTGTGTTCCATTCTCCAGGACTAGAGTGGTCAGCTGGCCATTCTCCTGTCCGTGTGTTCCATTCTCCAGGAAACTACAGGGACACTTTACGTGACCCCAGTGATTAGTAAACCATTTTCTTTGACCCCACTGATCAGTGGGCCCATTCTCAGAGACCCCAGTGATTAGCAAACCATTCTTTGAGGCATCAGTGATTGGTGGGCCATTCTCCAGGACCCCATTGATTAACAAACCATTCTCCTGGGGCCCAGAGAACAGCAAACCATTCTTCAGGACCTCACTGATTATCAGCCATTCCACCCTCCAATAGTGCAATGATCAGTGGGTCATCCAAACCCCAGTGATCAGGGGAGACTCCAGCGATCAGCAGGGACACTTTCCAGAACCCCAGTCATCAGCTAGCCATGCACTAGGATCCCAGTGATCAGTGGGCTATTCTAAGGGACCCCAGTGCTGAGCAGGGACACTCTGCAGAACCCCAGTCATTAGTGTCATTCTCAGGGACCCAAGTGAATTGAGGGCCAACCTCAGGGACCCCAGCGATCAGCAGGAACAACCTCTGGAACCCCATTGATCAGGGGGACATTGCCAGGACCACAGCAAATAGCAAGGACACTTCCTGGGACCCCAGTATCCAGAGAAACAATCTCTGGGAAAAACCCAGCAATCAGCAGGGTTCTGCAGAGTGTCCCTGCTCAGCACTGGGGTCCCTTAGAATAGCCCACTGATCACTGGGATCCTATTCACTGGGATCACTGGGTTTGGATGACCCACTGATCATCAGGACCCCGATAATCATGGTCACTCCCTGGGACCCCAGAGATCAGCCAGCCATCCTCCGGGACCATCAAGATCAGCCGGCCACCTTCGGGGACCTCTGCGATCCGCCGGCCCCCCTTTGGAACCCCTGCGATCAGATGCCCAACCTCCGGGAACCCGCTGATCCGACGGCCGCCCTGCAGGACCCCAGTGATCAGCCGGTCACCCTGCAGGACCCCAGTGATCAGCCGGTCACCCTGCAGGACCCCAGTGATCAGCCGGTCACCCTGCAGGACCCCAGTGATCAGCCAATCACCCTGCAGGACCCCAGTGATCAGCCAATCACCCTCCAGGAACCCAGTGATCAGCCAATCACCCTCCAGTACCCCAGTGATCAGCCAATCACGCTCCAGGACCCCAGTGATCAGCCAATCACCCTCCAGTACCCCAGTGATCAGCCAATCACCCTCCAGGACCCCAGTGATCAGCCAATCACCCTCCAGGACCACAGTGATCAGCCAATCACCCACCAGGACCCCAGTGATCAGCCAATCACCCTCCAGGACCCCAGTGATCAGACAGCCACCCTTCAGGATCCCTACAATCAGACGACCAACCTCCAGGACCCCATTGATCTGGAGGAATTAGTCCCTGATCAGCATAACATCTGCTCTGTCACCTCCAAATCGTTTCAGTCTTGATATTATCCTTCACAATCTGAAAATTGACAGATAGAGGTACCATAAAATGTGTATTAAACTGATCCCCATCCCATAGACTGCACACCGAGAACCCCTGGAAACACAACCAGTGGTCCCAGCACACCAACTGGAAACACTCTCTGCCTCTTCATCCCCGACCCTGCCAGTCACATTGAGCTACGGAGGTGACAGTGCCCCCTGCAGGCTGTCATTACCCAGTGGAGGGTTGCTGGATACGGTCAGGTTGGGCGCCATGCTCTCTCTCCCTCTCCTGCTCCGGATCCCGCAGGCTGCCACGAAGCTCCCGACTGAATGAGAAAGAGCTCAAGAGCTTCCGGCACACACATGCTCAGCACAGCCCTCTACTGACAGATGCACACTTCCGCCACGGGGAGCCATCTTGGACAATGAATGATCATCGCGCCGCCATCTTTGTTGTGGGTAGAGCAGTCACTCAGCTGCTTGCGCATCTCGGGAAAGGTTCAGCCTGGAACGCCGCGAGCCCTCACCATGGCCACGGCGTACACTCGCGATCATCACAGAGCTACGCAGTACGTACTGCTGTACCCAGAGACGCCGCTGGGGGCAGCCCGCTCTGCTGACCACGTGACAGATGCTGATGCAATGCTTGAATCAGGTTGGCAATACTCTAATTAAAATGATATTAAAGTGACAGTAAACTCAGGAGCGAGCACTGGTTCATCCAAACCTGCATACAGTACACATTATCTGTATTCATACTTTATAATCATGTACTTATCACAGATTTAGGGTCATTTGGGAAGGTTTGCTTACAATTGTTCTGCTAATGTATACAACTTATCAAGGGAAAAAGAGTGTATCTAAAGCTGCCCATACACCTTGCGATCATCGGACGAAACTTTTTGTCCAATGACCAAACCGTCTTGCGATTTTTGTACTGCGGCCCCATCCTGCCCCGCTTATCTCAAGGTTCAATCAGCAGTAATTCAGACATCCCAACTCTCCCGGCCGCTCCGGGAGTCTCCCGCTATTAGATAGCAGCTCCAGGCCGCCCGGGAGAGAAACACTTCCTCCCGGAAAGGTTTACTCTGCTCGTTCGCGCAGAGTAAACCTTTTCCTGCAATCGGTTTTTTTTTCCAGACATCGGGAGCCGCAGCCCGCCGCCAGTCAGAAAAAAAATTAAAAGGCATAGGATTGCTAGTTTGCTATTGCAAAGTGAAATAGCCAATAGGAATCTACCTATGCTTTCCTATGCATTTTTTTTTTATTATTCTGACGACTGCAACTGTCAGAATAATAAAATGTAAAAAAAACCTGCAGATAGCAAAGCAGCTATTGCTTTCTGTGCTATCATGGGATCCCTGGTAATTAAAAAAAAAAAGCACCTGGACGAATTGCGGTAATCGAGCGCTCGTTTTTTTTGTTTGCGCATGAGCAGTGTAAATCATACGAATTTTAAGGTACGGAAACGCCACCAACCTTGCGTTAAATCGTACGATCAACCAAAGTTTTCTAACCTGCTGGAAAGTCAAAAGTCGATCGATTGTACAGTATTTGCGGTTGTACACTGCCCATCAACCTTCCAAATATCGGACGAAAACGAGTTCGCATACGAAAAGCGGCCGATATCTGTAAGGTGTATGGGCACCTTAAGGCTTTGGATTGAGTCTGCAAGTGTTATAGGGTTTTTTTTTAATTGCTCAGGAGTTAAGGTGCCCATACACCTTACGATTATCGGCCGATTTTCGTTATCGAACGCGTTTTCGTCCGATATTCATAAGGTTGATGGGCAGTGTACAATCGCAAATACCATACAATCAATTGACTTTTGACTTTCCAGCAGGTTAGAAAACTGCGGTCAATTGTACGATTTTCGCAAGGTTGGTGGCGTTTCCGTACCTCAAAATTCGTACAATTAACACTGTTCATGCGCAAACGAAAATACGTGCGGTCGATTAACGCAATTCATCCAGGTGTTTTTTTAAACTACCGCTAATTGAACCTTGCGATAATCGGAGCAGGATGGGGCCGCCGTACGAAAATCGTACAACGAAAAGTTTCGCCCGATGCTCGCAAGGTGTATGGCCAGCTTTAAAGTAGTAAGAGTGCCACACCAATCATTGAGTCCAAAGATAATTGATTTAATTCATATCAGAGCATCATGGGTTAAAACGGCCAATGCATTTCAGGGGCACCAACGCTCCCCTTCTTCAGGGTTTGGACTAGAGATGTGCGATTAGTTTCCCTCCAAATTGAAATTCGTATGAATTTTTGGAAATTCCGACAGTCGTATGCATCTGCATTTCCGAATGATAGAAAGAACGAATCAGAACGTATCTTTTCGGATAACGAAGTTTCGGATGCAACTGATCATTCAGAATGAACTGGTGTTGTTAAACTTTAAAAAACAAAACAGCGTGGAGTCCCCTCCCCAATTCATACCAGACCCATTAGGCGCGGTGGGAATTTTAGGGAGGATGGGCAGCAGCCTTGCAGAGCTATTCGGGAGTCAACAAAGGGGTGAAACAAGTCCCATGACATAACGACTCCCTCCACCCCTTTGTTAACATTCGGGTCAGAGCTGTCATTTTGTGTGGAAAGTTCGTCGGGATTGGTCATGACAGCAGGCGTAGGGTATTTTTTTCTTTCGGCGAGTTGGCGGCTGTAGTGCATCGTGCTTGACTTGGATCTACATCACTGGACGACGTGATGGATGTGAGGATGCGTTTTGTTTTTTTAATAAAAGATTTGTCAAAAACTTGTTTTTTTTTCAAATAAATAGGACTTTTTTACGATGTTGTGAGTTTATTTACAATTTGACAGTTTATTTGGTGAATGAGTAGGAGTAACAACTACCCCTTACTCATTCACGAGGGGGGGGCGGGATCTGGGTGCCCCCTTTCATAAAAGGAAAGCCCCCCTGCCCGCAGACCGCCACAACCACCGGTCCAGGGTTGTGGGGAAGAGGCCCTTGTCCTCAACCACAAGGGTACAGGGTGCTTTTCCAAAAACAACCTCCCCATGTTGAGGGCATGTGGCGTGGTATGCACATACGTCTCTCCTCTCCTTCCAATGTCACTTTGCTGCAATGAAAATACGTTTGGATGAGTATGAATACCAAAACGAATTGACTTTCTGATCTGAAACCCGGAAAACTAAAAATCCGAAATGAATTTTTTGCTGGCGCACATGTCTAGTATGGACTTAATTGGGTTTAGTGACAGGAATGGTTGACACTCGTGTTCATCCTGGTTAAGCCCGTGACACATTGCATGCAAAGCCGTGTAGAGCAAAGCAAAAGTTGTCAGGCACGGAGGTTCACATGCAGTGTGTGAGCTGAGCGCGGCCAGATGAATGACTGCATCTTCAGCCAATTGGCTTGCGCGTAACAACCAAATGGACTTCGCATTGTGACGCGCGTGCTTATACAAGTGAGCCGATTGGCTGAGGATGATATTTTTCATCTCGGCATGCTCAGCTATGCGAGCTCTCACTGCGCGCAAAAGGTCCGCACACCACCGCTCCACATGCAGTGTCTCACAGCCTTTAATAGCTCAATGACTAGTATTCGAGTACACAGCTCACTATTAGCTGAATCTTCAAAAAGAGGACTCTAGAAGCTATCAAGCTATTAAAGTAAATCTATACCCAAGCTTTTTCCCAAACTCCAAGCTCACTCCTGCGATGGGACTACAATCTCACGTTTAATTTGCTAATTTGTATTGAGATTGTAGTCCATCCCGGGAGCGAGCTTGGAGAGGTGACTACTTTACAATACACACAGGGACCATGGGAAACAAAAGTAGCCACCCTCCAGAAGGAAGGACAGTGTCAGCACCAATTCAGAGATGATTTGAGGATCTACAGCTGAGCCGAGTAATACATTTTGTTGTTAATAGTTAAAGGGTTATTAAACCCTCCAGTGTTTTTGCTAGCAAGCAGTAGATATATGCAAAAAGTGTAAAAACAAAAACAAAACATACCTTTGTCTTCCCCGCGCGCTCCCGTCCGAACATGTGAAAATTCTCAGGCGGCCGCAAAGCATCGTGGGGCGGGAGCATGCGCAGTTCACATTTTCGGCTGGGAGACGAGAGACAAAAGGTAAGTCTATGGACGGCGTGCACCTGCATGCAGACACCGTGGAAGTGCCAGCAAGGACCAAGGAGTCAGCGCTGGATCGGAGACCCGCACCAGCGCTAGAGGGACAGATGAAAACGACAGGAAAGAAGATGGGATTAAGAAACATCATTTAAGGTAAGTGCTTTAATTAACATTGGGGGGAGGGAAAAAAATCTTTGACTTTAATGTCACTTTAAGGTACTTGATGCATTTTTAGGATTGAACTCCTGAGTTTAGTGTCACTTTAATCTGAAGAGGAAAATAATGGCTACTATAGGAGTTTAGTTATCAAAAGATATACAAGATGCATACAGGGGTGAAAATTGGGGCTAATCAGGAGGTCGCTGTGTCCCCGAAGCCACTTGAACAGAATTTTCATGTTAGACTTAATAGTATTTTTAATTAAAATATTTTGGAATAAACATTAAGAAATACGTCAGGAATCATCTGTGTTTACTTCACTCTCTACAAATCAACATTTCCAGCACTGTAAAGTCACAGCACATGGTTAATCCCCATTTTGTGAGCGGTCCTTTGAGAAGATTTACAAAACAGTTTAAATCACAGCAAATTGATCAGAGTAGAGGACGCGGTCACAGATTCAGTGGTCTCTCCATTACTGTTTTGTCAGACAAAGTCAATCCGGGATGATTAACCGTTTGGTCAGTGATGCTGCGTCTGCACCTACGGTGGAGTCATCTGGGAACCTCGTAGTTATGGTACCAGCACTTGTTTTACAGACTCAGGAACCCGAGACAGGTAGAAGTCATAATTACGCAGTGCTGCAAGAACTCCTGCTGAGTTCATATGTTTCACATCCTTGTGATACTGAAATGGGTTCCCATGGATGTCGGTGAGTTTACCTGTAAAAGAACAAGAATAATGCAATTCAGTGATCAATAATCTAAAACCCGCACGTAATACAAGCGATCAGGTGTCTCTAGAGACGCCCGATCGCTTGAATGTAAACAGCCATCGCTGGCTCGTTACATTTTTGATAATTTCCCCACTCGTGTGCGCGCTGACTGCTCCGCATGAGCGGGGGGAGGGGAAGGACGTCTAAAAGAAGCCCACCCGCTCCTATAAGGTTCCCATCTAGCCATTTACCTACGGCCAGTGGACAGGAGGTGGTTAATTACAGAATTGACCAACCCAAAAGTGATATTTTATTTCTACGTGGAACCTGGTGGGCCGAGTCACCCCCTGGCTTCTTATAGGTTCTTGAATACTCCCAACTGTGAGATCTCCCTACCACAATTGCCAACCGTGTTCCTGTTCACCTGCGATTTTCGGTGTTCCCACCATTTCCATCTCCTTTAATTATATTCTTCATAATATAAAATAAACATGAATCCAGAAGGAATGGTGGGAACACCTAATATTGGATAGGGCATCTGTGAGGACCTAGGGGACTCAGCACACAGATCTCCCCAATCATGTTCTTGAGATATAGAAGAAATTGTCAGATAATTTAACCCTCCTTAAAAAGGAGAACTATGAGGCGAGTGAAAATCACTCAGCCTCGTAGTTCTAGCCGACCTGTGACAATAAAACTGCAGAGGTCGGCTCAGTAGATCGGGAAGTGAGAGAACACATACCGGCACTCGCTCACTTCTCGATCTATCCCTGCAGAGAGTCGTGACTGTCACTCACGGCTCCCTGCAGGGATTCCCCACATCCCCTGCCCGATCCTCCAGGGCTGACTGGCGTAACGGACGGGGGAGGGGGCGGGCACAGCTGGCTCTGCCTCTAGATAGGCAGAGCCAGCTGTCACTCACGCAGCTGGGTGAATCCAGACAGTATTGTCGGGATCCGTTCCGGCTGCGGCGTCTCAGAATACCGCTCGCCGTATACTGAGCTTTGGGTCACGGGAGGACGCTAGTTTGTGTTCTCCCGTGACCCTTAGGAGAACTATAGGGAAAAGCCCTGACCCCATAGTTCTCATTTAACATGATATTTGAGCCCCAAGATGGCCAACACCCCGGATTAGCTGTGTATCAGATGAAAAAAAAAAAAAAAAAGAATCTGTTGATCTCCTTTACTGAGTAAACAGATCTGTGCACCTGTGAATGAAATTCCATAATGCACACCATACTAGACATAATATTTCTTCTTCCAATAATGTTAAGTGGACAGTTGATTTCTCATTAAGGGTGACCCAGTCATGGGTGATGGGGAGTTTAAAGCTAGGATAACAAGGGACAATGTACTATAACCTATATGAGCGTTTGGCGTCATCAGGGCAGCTTTTGGGTGTGTGGTATTATTTCCAGTCTGCTCCTTTTCCTGTGTAGCTCCATTATTTCACTATTCCTTCTTCTATCTTTACTGGAGTGTAAGACAAGCTATGCTACTCTGCTGTGGCCTCAAGCTGCCAGGGTTGCGAAAGATGCTGAAACCTGGCTCAGAAAATAATGCAGACAAAAGTGGGATGAGGATGGGACTCTTTTAAAGAGCCACTGTCCCCGTAACAATTAGTTTCCATATGCATTTTACATATTTTAGGTGTGTTGTTTACCTGTAAAAGCCTCCCTTGTGTGGACAACCAATGGCCCTTACTGCTGCTGGGCACTGGATGTAATGTCAACAGAGCTGTCAGTCAAATATTCCCCTTTACTCCTCCCCCAGCTGCTACATAAAAGGTTATGCAGGGAGATGAGGGGAGGGGTGGAGGAGCTGGGACAGCACAGAGAGTAATTAGAAGAGGGCTATGATGTGCAAGGAGGGAGGGAGACTGTTGTAGGGGATTGACTCCTGCTGGACTGCTCACATTTTCTAGCAAGTTACAAGACACATTGCAAGTGAATACAAAGTTGGTGACAGGGTCTCTGCCAGGGGTGATTAAGAATATTTAGCTTTTTAAAGTGTGTCTATTACAGTTTGGATTGACAAGGGCCATCTTTTCACCTAAAGGCTGAGGACATCTAGTGGTGGAACAGAATTATTCCAGGGGACAGTGCTGCATTGAAGGAGATTATTACAGTTAAAGCTGCCCTTCTGCTTTAATTGCTTTAGCATAGATCTCTGCTGCAGCTCAAGTTACAATTCGATCTCAGTAAAGCTCTGCATGTGATCTGGATGCAATATAATCTACAGCTATCATCTTTTCCTGAACACAAGTTAATGTGCACCTACCCATGCCAGCTTAGTCCAAGTTGACTGCCATGAAGAATGGAATTCAATTATCTTTTCCCAGACACATGTACTTGAGATGTTACCGTCACCAGTGTAAGAGGCTAAACCTCGATGCGAATGCCTAGTATTAGGGGTGCTATAAGCTGATAGCCATTAATGTTTATTGGGGCTCAATATAGGAGTGATATGATAAAGGGGGCTATAATTAGGTCTACATTATAAGTACTGATCACCAATGCAGAATGCCAATTTCAGGATATTCAAATTTGGGAAATCATTTAAAGATTTGGTGCAGAGGTAATATTGGTTGGAGGGGTATTACAACACATTACAGAGTCCCCCTGTAATGTGCAGTAATACCCCTGCAACCAATATTATTTCAGTTGCCTATGCTTAGATTGGTTACGAGAGGTTTTCTTATATTGGATACTGCACTTTGCATATTATGCTTGAGCTTGGAACTACTTTCCAATTTTCTACCCAATTTTCTAGTAATTTCAACCACTGTCAACCAGCTTTCGATGCAATAAAATGCAATGGATCAAGGCAACCTACCATAATTTTAAGGCTCCATTCACACCTACCACTTTAGGTGGATTTGGACTTGCAATTTCCTGCAGCAGGAATTCACATACGATTACATGCGGTGTGACAGCGTTCTGCCACTTTCAAATGCAGACACGATCACCTGATCATTAACTTGAACGGGTGACAGCTGCTGCTTGTAAATGGCAGATTAGGGATTCCTGCTGCAGGAAAATCGGAAGTTCCTGAAACAGGAATTCCTAATCCAACCGAATGACTGGTTGTGATGACTAAAAGCTGGCTGAACTTTATAGAAAAGTACCAGTGTGTTGGGCTAGCATTACAGGAAACATGTGAACAAGAAGGAGGAATATTAGTACTATGTTCAGAATTGCTTACCTCCAACTGCATGCAGAATAGCCTCAGGAGCACACGTGTCCCATTTCTTACAGCCAGGACTGGCAAATACATAGGCTGAAGCCTGCCCTTCAATTAACTGGATGATCTGAAAAAGAATACATATGTATTAATAGATAAGTCAAATGCAGTCACGGTCGGGAATATTTAGGAAAACTGGAGTAGAAGCTACATTTCTGTTACCCCACATGACTCCTGTTCCTAGGTACATCCTGTGCACAGAGCCATAATCAGATATGACATTTCCTGAGGCACACATTTATAATGGCGCTCTTTAACAAGTTCCATCCTAGTATCACATACAAGCCAATCAGATGCACTGCTTTTGCTGATGAAGTCTGAGTGTGATAAAATAACTGTAAAATAAAGAGATGCAGGTCTGGGATAATCACCTTATTCCCTGCACCGCCCACACGCACAACCTTATCGGGGTGTATGGCATCGATACAATCATTCACCAGCTTGCTGCTGTGAGACCGGGTAGTGGTAACGATGTGTTGTCCTTCAGGGACTTCTTTTAGCTGAAACCCAAAAGCTCCCAGACCTAGAACTCCCCAAATTGTCCTTCCCAGCACGGCACTGTCACCAGCCTGTAATACAGCATATTAGTCAGATAAACAAACAGGTATTATAGTATAGAAACTAGAAAGAGTTACTAAAGTCAAATCTATAAGAGACACAAGTTTAAACACATGGATAGTGAAAGACACTGCCTGGTTTTCACTTATGTCTTATCAGCCAGAGAAACAAATGGCTTTCCCAATGTATGATCTGCTGACCTAGCACCATATACACAACTGATAACTCATCATTACATGTCAAGCTCAAACGTTGTATGTTGGTTTTAAGTGGAACTCCAGCCAAAACATTTTCAAGTTTCAGAGTGGGGAAGTATTAAAACCTTTGTCAGGTTTTTATTGCTGTTTGTGTCCCGGCAAATATTCAACCTCGCTTTGTGTCCTGGCAACTGTTGAACACCAAGTACAGAACGCAGGGTAGTGGATATAGACCGGTCTGCTGACACAACGAGCTTCCTGTACTACCTTTTTTTTTTTTTCCGCCTATAAGGGCCCCCTTAAACTGAGCGCACTTTCATATAATTTGTAAGGTACTTAATTACAAGGCACCAAGTCAAGACTTGATCTCACTTGCAACATGTTGGAAAGAGGTTCTGCATGTCGCATTTTTTGCACACACCCCTGTGTGGTTCTACTCAAATGTGCTGAATGGAATCCTGAAAACTGCAGCACAACACATGTGAAAATGGGCAGCAACCTTCAATAGTACTAGATTGCCTACTCAATTGGCACATGCAATAACTGGACGTTCACCAAATTGGTTTAGGGACTGGTCAGAACCCGGAACATTTCTCTATATGTGGTGGGCCTGCCCTAATGCCCAGAACCTCTGGAGAATAGATTATGTGCTGCTTTATACACTGCTACCAACTCCCAATTGATATGAACCCTTTTGAGGCACTTCTCAATTTTACAAAACATCAATTTACCCTGATGGTCCATGTTTTGAAGCCTAAAAAGAAGCCATTGTGCATGGCTCTCTAGATTACTTACATTAGCCAGTTAAAGCCAGATTACATTATCCAATGAAAAAAACATATGGCAAAATTATTAGGCACTATACCCAAGTTAAAAGTTGGGAACCATGGATCACTCATTACTTGGCAAATAATTCTGACCAGTGACTACTAGATCTTTAGAGCCCATGGATATCCCATGCCAATGGGAGTTTGGTCCCCATCTGTGACTCTGTGATGCCGGTCCGCACTATGCCCCTCCTGGCCCTACTCCTTCAACCCTTTCACTCTTCCCCTCTTTTACTGTTTCTGTGCTTCTTTCTTGTAGCATTTTACAACCCACTATGATTTTATGCACACATCCCTGTTTAACTATTGTGCCTTTGTCAATTATGTTGTCGGTCAAATGCTACTGTTCTGCAATCTTTAGCGCTACTGTAAAAAAAAATTTGTTTAATAAAATATTGAACGAGAAAATTGCTGCATCTTTTGTGCACTTTTTAGAAAAAAGCCGTTATATTATAGTCAACGGTAACACACTAAAAACTCAATACACTTGATTAGTGCAGTTTTAGTCACATGGCGATAATTTCTAGGGGGGGGGATTGAAAAGAAAAAAGGGAAAATGCCCGCAAAATGCATGTAAAACTTGTGTTTGTGTAATGTTAAATTTTAAAACACTGCATCAAAAATCACATTGAGTTTTTGACAAAAGGCATATGCGTTTTCTAATGCAATTATGTGAAGTGAGCTTAAAGGAGAACTATGAGATGAGGGCTTTTCACTCACCTCATAGTTCTAGCCGACCTGTGACAATGAAACTGTCACAGGTCGGCTTAGTAGATCGGGAGGTGAGCAAACACATACCGGCGTTCGCTCACCTCTCGATCCTAGATTCCCCCCTCCCCGCTCCTCCAGCGCTGACTGGCGGAATGGACGGGGGAGGGTACAGCTGGCTCTGCCTCTAGATAGGCAGAGCCAGTTGTCAGTCACACAGCTGGGCGGATCCAGACATAATTGTCAGGATCCGCTTCAGCTGTGTCATCTCAGTATACGGCGAGCAGCAGCTTGCGGTATACTGCGGCGTCTCAGTATGCTGAGCTTTGGGTGACTGGAGGACGCTGGTTTGTGTCCTCCCGTTACCCCAAGGAGAACTATGGGGAAAAGCCTTAACCCCATAGTTCTCCTTTAAGGCCAGATTCCCAGCTGTTTTCATTTAATATAATTTGGATGCCTTACAGCTTTAAAGCTAGTTATAAATTGATGAGTGTATTTGCCATTTATTTCACTTGTTACAGCAACACGTTAACAGGCTTACCTGAGCAGTCTTCCAGCAACTTGCTTCTGAGATCAGGCCTGTCTATCAGCGGCTGTCATCCCCCCACACCTGCTTCTCCTTACTTCTCCCCACGTCCCTGTGCCGATCTTGGATGTGCGCGGTGAGGCAGGGAGGAGGTGCGGCATGGAGAGTGGATGCGGGCGGGGGGCCGGCAGCGGCGAGCGTGAGGTGGGGGAGAGGTGCGGCACGCAGCGTGCGTGGAGCCGTGAACAGGGCCAACTAATTGGAAGCCGATTAATCGATGATTGAAACTGTTGACAACTTTTTCAATAATCGATTATAATCGATTTGGTTGATTAGTTGTTGCAGCCCTACAAGTACCCTACTAGCTGACTATAATGAAAGGTTTGCACTTTGCATGGGTAAGTTTGTTGAAAGTAGAAAGCTTCATTAACCCTTAGACTGGATCCACACCTAAGCAACACCTATTCAGCACGTTTTATTCGCATCTTTTTTTGAGCGTTTTTGCAAGAGCCTTATGCCCGTATGTTATGACGCGCATTTTTGTGAGCAGATTTTGGCATATTCAAGTCAATGAGAAACAGGCACGTAATACGCACGCAAATAAATCACAACACACATTTTTCAAGCATTTCTATTGAGTCAATGGGACAAAGCACGCTGAAATCAGCCCCAAAGTAGCTCATGTAGTATTTCGTGCGACAGGCGTATTTCTGCCTGCGACAAAACACTGACATGTGCACTGGGGTCATAGACGTGAATAGGATTCCTAGTGTTGAGCTGTTTGTAGCACTAATTTACACACGACAAACAGCTTAGGCGTGAAGGGGGCCTCAATATTTGACATGACAATAAAGTAAAGCTTACCTGGTAGTTATAGTAGGGCTGATTAATCACCCCAGCTATTGCTTTTCCTTCATAAGCCACTCCAATTAGAACAGTGACATGGTCTAGAAGACCTAGAGGCAAAAATGGTTTGCAAAATTATTAGGGAGAACTATGTTAGCTCAGAGAGAAGTAATTTAAGAAAATATAAATGGTTTGATAACTCCATATTAACAGCAATAACGATGAATAAAGTGCAGAAGTAACCCCATGGCAACCTGCTGCTTTTTTTTTTGTTTAAGAATAATGATTAGTTTCTATAGGTTACTACACTGACACTCCACATACGTCTGTCACAATGCAGAACACTGATGAAAGAGGATCCTCATGGATGCAGTTATTATTATTATTATTATTATTATGATACAGGATTTATATAGCGCCAACAGTTTTACAATATACGCTTTACAATATAAGGAAGACATTACAATCACAAACAATTCAAGACAAGATGGTAAGGAGGGCCCACCCCTGAAAGCTTACAATCTAAAAGGGAGGGGGAAGTGATACATGAGGAGGGAGCTGTGTGGGGATCAATTGCTTGATAAAGTGATAGTTCAGTGGTTGAGGTGGGATAGGCTTCCCTAAAGAGATGAGTCTTAAGGGATCGCCTAAAGGCAGTCAGAGTGGGAGGTAGACAGACAGGTTGGGGTAAAGAGTTCCAGAGGGTGGAAGAGACTCTAGTGAAGTCCTGGAGGCGAGCATGGAGGAGTTGACAAGGGAGCTGGAAAGCAGAAAGTCTTTTGAAGAGAGGAGGGGACGGTTAAGGCAATACTTAGAGACAAGGGTTGATATATAGCCTGGGGACAGAGTTGTGGATGGCATTGTAAATGGTTAATATTTTGAATTTTTTAACCAACACCTCATCTAATAGGTGGCCCATGAGTCAGGAAATGGTTGCTTCTATCACAGCCTTAGTGCACAGAGGTTGCAATGTGTAATACATTCTCCTTACACGTGTACATTTACATCCTACAGAGACAGCAATGCTGAACAGGTGAACAAAAAGCAGAATGCTAATGGGACATGAGACAAAAGGATTTTGGTCTCTGCGGATGGAAAGAAACAATGTAAGTGCATGAATTAGGAATAAATCTTTCTGTGAATGGCCACACTAACATTGACTTACGCGGGCAGAGATTTATGGCTGTCCTTAAGCAAGCTACTGGGCCAATCACAACTCTTTCCCAACGGCATAAGTGGTACACGCACGCTGAATTTCTTCCATAAAGCAGAATGAGAAATTGGTCTAATTTTCAGGCAGATTTTTTATCATAGGTAGAGTAAGACCCTAACATTTTTAAAGAACTTTTACTGCCCTCTAGAGAACACAAACTGATTGACAACAGTGATTTAAAGTGACACGAAAGCTCAGGAGTGGCTAATTTACAACACACACAGGGACCATGGGGGAACACAAGTAGCCACCCTCCAGAAGGAGAAACAGTGTCGGCACCAATTCAGAGATGATTGGAGGATCTACAGCCGAGTGATACACAAATAAGATACATTTTGTTGTTAATAGGTAAGGTACTTGAATGCATTTTTATTGAACGCCTGAGTTTAGTGTCAATTTAAATCAGCAGCATGCTTGCTATCAGAAGGTTTATTGCGGTCAGCCTCATGCTTTATGAATGCAATTTATTTGCTGTATCACGCAGAAAATGGACAAACCTTCAGTATATTCTTTAGTTCCATCCAAGGGATCCACCCACACCACCAGCTGAAAAACAAGAACGAATAAACCTAGTCATTTTTTTCCAGATAAACTAGTTAAAAAGGAGCTGTGCTATCTAACTGTAGGGGTACACGGCTCCTGGCTTGCTGGACCTCAAAGTAGCTTATTCCCTGTGTCTATTTCCTCTTTGGATTCTGCTCTGTGATGTTCTCAACACCACTCCTGAGCCAAAATATACCTGCAGTTATTGCAGAGTATTTAACCTGAGCTGCAGGAGTGCGCTGTCAGCTCAGTTTTGCAGCAATGCCCCCCCAGCCCCCGGTGCAGCCAACTGAATGGCAGAAGAGGATATGCAAAGAGCGACTTTCAAAAAGTCACAGTTTGCATATCTATATGCACATTCCCCAAACGCCTGAGGATGTTGATAAGCAATTTGGGGCCCAATAATTGCATTGTGCAATGGAGAAAGAGGGGGTGAGCATCTACTCCATTACCAGAAATGAGAAAACCATTGGGGAGGTTTGGTGGTGCTAGAGGGGAATATCAGAATGAGAAAGAGGATGATCTGTAAGGCAGTAGGAGCAGCTTTTAGATTATATCTGGTATACATACCAACTGGTTGCTTTTATTATGCGATGCCACTCACCAGATATGAATGTTTTTCACTGCATCGATTAAGTCTGTATGTTGTTATACGCCACCAGCTGACAGTCATTACATCCTATACTTGTCCCTGCTCAGTGACTTGCTAAATAGTGAAGCAAGGATAAATAGGACATCCCCAACGCATCCATCTTCAAATACAAGTCAGCAATGGCAGCTGCCTTACTTCTATCTTAACAGGCTGCCTTTAAAAGGTCAGTAAGTTTGAAAGCAATAAAGTTACCAATCTGTATGGTTTAGCTGAACGATCTTCAGAAAAACGTTAACACATTGATTTTTTTACAGTATAGGTCACATGACTTTCTAATTAATTGATTACTTAGGTACTGAAGTGTACTGATCAATCAGTAAATGTAGAAATCCATTAATATGTTGAAGTGGACTTTGCTATTCTGTTTCAGGTCAACACAAGGCCAATCTTTATGACCCTAACATCTAAGGAGCACATGGATGGATTACAGATAACATCCCTTATATGTTTAATACTGCTCACCATTTTTAAATACGGGTTAGGGTTAGGGTTAGAAAGATGAAAGTTTTTTCAGCTTTCACATTTTATACCGACTGCCAAAAATGTTCTACTACAAAACTCTGTACCACAGTGTAACATAACAGGAGTGGCAATGGAAGCTGGTAATAATTACATCAGAGATGGTAGATGGCATGTTAGCAAAACAAAAACAAAAAGGAGCAGGAAAAACTGACTCAATGGCAATTTCACTCAAAATCCCAACACCCACCAAATGTACCTTTTATGCATGCTTTATAAACTATAATGCAGCCAGATTCAGCAGGTTTTTATAGTGCTGAAACTCTCTGAAAATATAGAGGTTGGAGCTTGGAACCTGTGAACGCTAAATCAGGATACAATGAAAAGATTTAGCTAGAGAGGGGGTAACCAAAAAGGCACAAAACATATGCCAAGGAGGAAATTAAATGCATTCTATATGTAGACCTGGTCAGTGGTGTCCCTAGCCTTTTTGCTGCATGAGTGGGGGTGATGGTGCACGCAATCAAGAGCAGCAGGAGGTGTGTAGAGGAGACCGCGCCGCCAGACATAAGTGAAGCTGCCCTCTGCATCTCCATGCCGGGCTCTTGGCAACCTAGAACGCTTTGGCCGGCGACCCACCCAGCTCCTGGCAACCAGTGATGTCACTGGTTGCCAGAAGCTGGGTGGGACGCCGGCCAGAGGGTCCCAGGTTGCTAAGAGCTGGACGGGTAGATACGTATGGCCCTTATACATCTCTCTGCCGGCTCTTAGCAACCTGGGACGCTCTGCCCGGAAATGGGATGGCAGGCACACTGCAAACATTGCCATTTCCCCCGCTCACGTGACCCAAAGAGATGCCGCCTGAGGCAACAGCCTCAGGCTGCCTCATTAAAGGCACGGCCCTAATGGCCATGGCCAGTAAATAAAAAAGGCTTTTATGCACTACCCCTTATAACTACCCAAAGAACATGCAGTGTGCCAATTTAGTATATTCAGGCCTATATTTGGATTACCTCTTCCTCTTTAATGTTGCTGTACTGAGCTGGGAAAATGGTCTTCAGAATTTCTGCAGAGTCCCCCGTCTCGATCAGTGATTCTTCTACATCTGTAGAGGGCAGGTCCTGTGACAACAAGGCGATTTACAAATATTGCAGAATTTTTGTTTTACAGGGAAGGCTGTGATTGTGCGGTGATGTCTAATTTTCCTATGTAGGTCACATAGAACTCAGTGTGTTATTTCACACAGGTTTGACTGGGCCTATAAACATGATACTGTATTTTTGCATTTGTTGACTTTTTAACAGGTTGGGAGTGGGGGTTTGGTTCAGATAACGATCTGACTGATAAAGGACTTTTAGTTCTGGGCAGCCAGGTTTGTGATTACCAGACAAAGAAACCAGATCCGTAAGCCCCACTGGCGTTGTAGACAAAGCTTGGTCAAGAACACACCCTGAACAATGGAGAAGCAGCAGCCCACTGATGAGGTCATCCCTCTGCTCTCCCCCTCTCCAAATTTGAGTGCTACTGCGCAAGGTGCGACAAGAGTCTCATATTGCAGCCTTCTGCCTTGCAGCACTAAGGGTTCCCGGTGCAAATCCCGGTCAGGACACCATCTGTAAGGAGCTTGCATGTTCTCCCTTTCCTTGTGTGGGTTACCTCCAGGTACTCCGGTTTCCTCCCATACTCCAAAGACATGCTGGAAAGTTAATTGGCTCCGGTCTAATTTGATCTTTGTATGCAAACATGTGAGATAGGTACCTTAGATTGTAAGCTCCTTGAGGGGAGGGGCTGATTAGAATGTGCAACAAATAAATAAAAACATTAAAAAAAAGTTAAATTCAAATTCTAGCTGAAAATACCTTTGAGTTTACTTATATACAATTATGCCATGATATTTATCTTTGGTGAACATATGTATACTTTTACAGAGTAATTGTAAGGGTATCAAAATCAGCTTGGAGTTCTGTGACCCATAAAGGGCACTGCCTGTTGTCTCATGGTTCTATATGGTCACAGATTTCTACACTGGCTTCTGTCGTCTGAAAAAACTAATGTGGATTCATCATTCATACTGGAACCAGTACAGCAACCCAGCTTTCTAATATGTTCAGTACTGGTTAAAATGCCATGCAAACTATTCCATGAGTATAATTACCTCTTCACCAATGATGGTTAGCTGTGGGAATTTTCTTGCAAGAGAGGAACATATACTTTGCTGTACCAGGCGATCAGCCGCCGTCTGCAAGTCATTTGCTCCTGTCTAAAGACAAAGATGTCAGATCAGATTCCACAGACAATTTGTAAGTATTATTGTTTTATTTGTTTATAAGAGAAGGACAGAATTTTTATAGCACTAAATATACATGACTGGAAGAGGACTGGACCTGGGTGTGTTCAGAAAAAAAAAACCGTTTAATGCTCTAAAACTTGCCTTACCCACCCAGTCAAAGAAATATTGCTGACCTCCCTCTAAAACATTTTTGTGTCACTAACCTGCAGGGACCGATTAACGGCAACTGATACCCCGAATACAGCCCAACAATTGGGCCTCCTAAGCCCATCCATTGCGTAACCGACAAGACATTAAAGTAGGGTACACACGGTACGAATTTGCGAGATGGTTCCTGATGAACTGGCTGAAATGCACACAGTGGGAGCTTCAGCGGGCATCCTTCTGCCCAGCAACCCTCAATCAGCTGATCGAAGGAGCCGGTTGGAAAATTCTCAGCCAAACGGAGCTTGCAACCAGCTGCAAGCACTGTTTGGGTATTCTGACATTGGCCGCCAGTATACAGATAGTACTAAGGGACACAGAATGCAATAGAAATGCACATGTCAATAGCAAAGCATGTACTTGCTGTCTCTGTCCCTACAAGACATCCCCTAACTTGGACCCAGGCAGTAGAAAATAGAAAGCAGGAGGTTGTAACCCTTCCCTTACAGAAAGCTAAAATTATACCATCTTGTCTTGAATTGTATTGTAAGTGTAATGTCTTCCTTATATTGTAAAGCGCTGCGAAAACCGTTGGCGCTATATAAATCCTGTATAATCATAATATTATTATAGGGCTAAGGACCCTCCATCTGCCCCCTATGACAATGTTCGAGCCTGGCAATTGGTCGCTCAGGCACACAAGGCTACATCCAAGGAGCAAAAGGCAGGGAATGACAAGTCCCTCCATTAATGGAAACTTCAGGGTATTCCCGGTGCTCTTGCTGGAACAGGGGGTGATGGAGGGGTATAGCGAAGGTAAGTATCAGCAGCTGAAGGTGGGAGGGGAATCCAGAAACAGGCTCGCAAAAATCTCAATCTCATTAATATAATATTATTATTAATAATAACTGTAAGAAAAATACTTATCGTAACCTTTTCCACAATCCCCAGATCTCCTTCACTCATAACACGTCTGACGATGGTTCCAGCTTTTTCAGCCACGGAGTGAGCACTCGCCACCAGCCTGGCCAAAACGTTGGAGGATGAAGACATTGTGAAGGCTAGAAGAAAATGTGAAAGGTGACAGTATTTGGACTCGCCAAGTGTGTTTATAAAGATGTATTTTATAGGACTTCAGCTAACGATTATTTTCATAACCGATTAGTTGCCCAGTTATTTCTTCAACTAATCGATTGGTTGTATAAAAGAAAAAAAAAATCTCTCTCTCTCTCTCTCCTTACCCAAACAACTGTTGCAGCCCTAGTATTATACTACATGAACTTCTGCATTGCTGAAGAGTCTAAAAGTTAAAACAAAACTATAGTTCATTTATAGAGTGGAGTCTGATGAGCTGGCTGTACATTTAGGCCCCAGGAGGTGAAATGCATCAGTGGGGAGCAATGAGAACACACTACTCTTGCTGCCCTCTAAAAAAGTTGTTTTGTGCTACATGGATCGGCAGAGTACGGTATCATGTACGTGTCAGTGGGAACCGATGGATCACATAAGCAGCCCTCATCTATGACTACAAATAGTGGATACGTAAGCAAGATCTCCTCACGTTGGAGTTTGTCTAAATTTTGTATCATAAAAACAAATGTAACCTCTATAAAGTTGTGCGTGACCAATTGATACTGGCTCCAGCAGCTGTACAGGCCTCGGAACTCAAGTGTAATAATCCCACCGCCACCAGCCCTCAAGAGATATACAACACCCCAAGCTTTGTCTGCAACTGCAGTGGGGTTTAAGTCACCAGCATGTAGCAAACAATGGAAGATCACGTTTGCATAGACGCAACTGGGTGCTGTGTTATACAGTAGGTGGCCTCTTGCATCAAGTGGTTGAGACCGAAGTGTCGATGACACCGGTGACTTGAAATCTTCACCTTTGCTCCAGCACAGAAATCTGCCTGACTCATGGTGATAATCTAACTCCGAACAATGAGTAGTAGAAATCTTCTTACTACACTATGCATTCCTTTCCCTAGTACTCCATACAACAATAGCTGCATTATAAATAAACATTTAAAGCAACTGGAACTAAAACCAATCTTCTAAATAAAGCTGAACCTGGAACGAAGGCATGAAATACTCATTTCTCCTGTTGCCTCCACTGCCAATCTCTGCATAGAGAAGAAAGTGTGCCCATCCAAGATCCTGCAGATTCAACCCTTCCAGCAAAATCAAATTCCCAGTAAATTTTCTCTAGAGATTTCTGCGCTCGATTACTCTTAAAAAACAGGGCGTTCCTCCTTACAGCTGCTCACTTAAATTGGCTGCATGAGCCTGCATTAATATCATTCAGGGTACGTTCACACCAGATGCAGTGCGTTCCAGTCCAATTCTGGCCGGAACGCACTGCTTCGCATTGCGGCCGGCTCACTTTTTTGTGGGGCAGGAGTGGGCGTGGCGGGCCATTGAAGTGAATGGCACCGTAGCCACGCCCTCCGTCCTCAATGCAATCGCCCGCACGGGATTGCAAAGCACATTGTGCCTGCGGTCCGATCAAAATGCTGCAAGCACTATGCCTGGACCGCAGGCACAATGTGCCTTGCAATCCCGTGCGGGCGATTGCATTGAGGAAGGAGGGCGTGGCTATGGTGCCATTCACTTCAATGGCCCGCCACGCCCCCTCCTGCCCCACAAAAAAAGTGAATCGGCCGCAATGCTAGGCAGTGCGTTCCGGCCACAATCGACCAGAACGCACTGCATCTGGTGTGAACGTACCCTCAAATATGTGAAGCGGCGCTGTCACCCAACACAGTAAACAAATAATGTGTGCAAAAACCAAATCTAACAGTGAACAATACTTCTGAGATCAAATTCCCGGTCCCCTTCTTTGCTTAGTGGTTCAATCTGCATTTTGTCCTGAAAGGGTCATAGGGGCTTTAGGGGGGACCAGGAAATAGACACCCCCACACGTGTTGGATTCCACATGACCTTTACTGGGTGCATTCTCTTCACCACTAAAGAGCTTGGTTGCGGTGGCAGCAGGAAAGACGAGTCTTCTGAATATTCTTTCTTTATTATGAAGATTGATTTTTAGCAACAAAGCCCTTACTAGGCACAGTTCTTACCTTCACTATGCACCACACTGCCCGGAACTACCGCCAGGAACTACCGCCAGGCCTTCCAACATTTCTATGCAAGTTTCACCTTGCTAAACAAGTGGAAACTTACATACGTCAGTGCCCGCTCTCACCATCCTCACACGACAGCGCATGGGCCTGGCAAAAGGCCACAGAGGCATCAAGTCGTACATTATTGGTGAAGAAGTGTCACAAGTTCCTCCATACCTGTAAGCAGCAAATATTTCTCATGCAGCCTACAGGTAGATCACATGGGGCGCACAAGAAGGAGGCAAGTATTTGTTTCTTAAGATACTCTAGGAAAGTAAACCTGTTGCTTTGCCATGCATGCACAAAAAATAGGTTCACTTTCAGGGCTCCATCAGAGGTGAGGGGCATCTTCCAGATGCCAAATATCACTCTGCAATCCCTAAGCAGCTAGATGGACAATTTACCCTGGTGACAAGCTCCATCCATCTAAAGAGTACAGGGAGAGATTGACATACACAGACACATTTCTGGATATTTTCTGCATGCCAGTGCACTTACCTGTACCCAGCAGTGCTGTGCCCAAATTACAGCTGCATTTGTCACCTGAGAGGAATTAAACCTATCAGAAGGGCAGGACTATCCACTACGCTGCTGGATAGGGTGCCCAATGTAGCACCCACCCCATGTATGGTACACAAAGTGCAGAACAGTAGTCAGATTATTGCGGGCCCTTTGGCACTGTGTAACAGAGTCACCTTATCTAACCTTTGTCACAATGACACGCTACAGCGTAATAACAGGAGAGATTACAACTGGCTATGATGTATTAGCAGCTTTATCCTGGTACATTAGCTTTCAGCATAAGACCCTGGAGCTGGTAGTATTCAGTGCTGAAACTGTGCCCCAACTTCCCGGATTCCTAAGATTAACCCAACCTGTGCACTGACCATAATATTCGACCTCTCCCGAAACCCTCGTTCACACCTGAACATTTTGTAGCGCGTTCTACGCTCGACGAACGCTCTACAAAACGCTCAAAAATATAAATCCCATTGTATTCAATGGTCTCGTTCCCACCTTGGCGTATTTCCGCCCGTCCCTAACGCGCTACAAAACGGCCCACGCCTGAAAAGGTACAGGTACTACTTTGGGCCGTTTTGTTGCGCGTTTCCATTAGGATACAGCCAAGTAGCCTTCGGAAACGCACGTTTGTCACGCGACTTTTTACCGCGAATCGCGGTAAAAAAACGTGCGACAGACACGCATATGCAATACGCCTAGGTGTGAACGAGACCTAACACTTAGCCTAATACAAAGACTTACCCTATCCCTGACATTTACCCCAAAGACTTACCCTATCCCTGACATTTACCCCAAAGACTTACCCTATCCCTAAAAAAAAAAAAAAAGGGATTATGTGGAGTTTCCCCCTTCCCTCCTTTCAAATCAGGAGCCCCCCTTTACATCAGAGTTCCCCCCAAAACATCAGAAGCACCCCCTATACATCAGAGTTCCCCCTTCACATCAGAATTCCCCCTTTTCACATTAGAAGCCCCCCCCATACATCAGAGTTGCCCCCCTTTCACATTAGAAGTCCCCCCTATAGATCACAGTTGCCCCCTTTCACATTAGAAGTCCCAGCTGTAAATCAGAAGCCCCCTTTCACATTAGAAGTCCCACCTATACATCAGATGATCCCCTTTCACATCAGCGTTCCTCTGTTTACATTAGAAGTCCCACCGATAAATCACATGCCCCCCTTCATGTCAGACTTCCCGTTACAAATTTGCAGGCACACTGGTTGAGAAAGGCTGCTTTTCTACATCAGCTTTCCTGATAAAGGTCTGGCCAAACCAATGCAAACAGACCTGAGGGGGTGTAGACCATAAAATGTGTTTTTTTGCACAAAATTGTGCACATTATAGGTTAGCCTCCCTAGGAAAGTGTAACATTTTGCAACAAAAGGCAAAAAGAAGAAACATGCATAGCTCACAATTAGTAGATGTGACCAGTAACCTACCTGCACCCCTGATCCAATACAGAGAACTTACTGCCAAGAAGTGGAGAGGCTGATAGATCATTGCAACACTCTCCTTGTATGCAAATCCACTTCCTACTTCAGCTCTGCTCCTCCCGGGTCCTAGAAACACCAGATTGTCTGAGCCAAACAGTCATCCATCAGTAGCTCGTATCATTATCCCAAAGCTGACAATGTGCCCACGGGGGGACCCAACAGCAGTGTATGACTATTACAGGGGCCCCTCATACATAGATAGGACCTCCAGAACTGTTATCAAAACATATAATGTTACAATGTGTATAATATCTGTATTGTTATACTTTTATATACCAATCTGATGTAACACTGAGCAGATTTCTTAGCTGTCCCAATCAATGTAGGCCTTGTTCACACCGAAAGCGTGTGCATTCCAGAGCGGCAGCTGCTGGAACGCACCACGATCGCTGAGAAACTTCCCCTTGCGTTTTGGGGCGGGAGGGGGAGTGGCGGTGCATTGTATTCAAGTATTCGCCCGCAGTGCGATCGGACGCCTGGCAAAACTTTGCAAGCGTTCTGTTCCACTGCAAACGCAAAAATAGGGCTACCGCTCTGGAACGCACACGCTTTCGGTGAGAACAAGCCATGAGGGCTAGCTCATACAAGAACTGCATGCGGCTGCAAAGCTGCGATGCGTTTTGCCGCGATTTTACCACAATTGATGCATGTTTTTGGGGGTTTTTTGGGGGGGTGCTTAAAATGGGATTTCAGGTGCCTTCTGATGCATTTGCACGCGTTCTGTTACGATTCGATGCAGCTAAGATAGGGCAAGCAGTATCAGGGATTGCAGACATGCTACAAGAGATGGTCAGAGGCTGCAGCGATGCTACAGGAGATGGTCGGAGACTGCAGACATACTACAGGAGATGGCCAGAGACTGCAGACATGGTACAGGAGATGGTCGGAGACTGCAGACATGCTAAAAGACATGGTCAGAGATGGTAGACATGGTACAAGAGATGGTCAGAGATTGCAGACATGCTACAAAGGAGGGTTAGAGACTGCAGACATGCTACAAGGGATGGTCATAGACTGCAACCATGCTACAAGAGACATCAGAGACTGCAGGCATGCTACAAGAGATGGTCAGAGACTATGTGCATGCTGCAAAAGATGGTCAGAGACTATGGTCACACAAGAGATGTTAGAAACTGTGGGCATGCTAAAAGAGATGGTCAGAGACTATGGGCATGCTACAAGAAATGTTAGAGACTATGGGCATGCTGCAAAATATGGTCAGAGACTATGGGCATGCTGCAAAAGATGGTCAGAGACTATGGGCATGCTGCAAAAGATGGTCAGACACTATGGTCACATTACAACAGATAGTAAGAGACTGCAGGCATGATTCCAGGGAAAGTTTACATGAGACTGCTAGAGATCACTGCTATTACCAACTTATTACAGATCCCCCTAGGAATGACTTGTGCCACAATCTGCATACATAATACATCTTGTTGGTCTGTAAAGGGACTCACCTATGAAAAGTGTGCCAACAGCAACATTGCTTGTCGCCCATGGCAACTAATCCGCTACCAAGTGCCTCGTCTAAAGGCCATGTTTGGATGAACCAAGGTTGCTAAGGACAACAATAAGTTTTCACGCTAGTATACTCCACATACATAAACTCCATAACTGATCTGCAGTTTAGGGGCACATTATGACATCATAGTTGCACTTTCTGCTCCCGGGCAGCGTTGATAACAAATGAAGCAATAGTGAAAACTGGAGACAAAACGCGCGCAGGAAGTTTGGTCATCGCCGGACGCCGTCACCTCTTCGCTCACCGTAGTTCCCTGAGACAGTGACAGGGAACATGTTGACCCTGCTGAGGTGCCGGCTGTCAGGAGGTCCCTACTCCTGGAGGGGGAGGGCGGCCTCGGGACTGAGCAGCAGCCAGGAGAGTCCCGGGCAGAAGAAATACCGAGATACCGTGCTGCTACCCCACACCGACTTCCCCATTCGCCGCAGCCCAGAGGACACCGTCGCCACCGAATGCCGCCTGCAAGAGGTCAGGGGGTAGGGGCAGAGAGTGACTGCAGCCGTCACCTATAGCAAGCCGTGGGGCACAATGAATCTGGTTGCTCTGGGGGACAGCTTTAGTTCTGGGGTGGCTTTGAGGGATCTGTGTGATGGGCCTGTGTATTACCATTGCAAGGCTTTACTCATGCCATTTATAGTGCCATAAACTGAACTATGACTTAGAGGCATATTTATATAGCAGCAATATGACTTTCACCGAACATTCACCCATAGTAAATTAGTCACTTAAAATGCATGCAGCGGGAAGATTCACCTGCAGTGAATGTCAGATTAGCTGCTTTATAGATAAACCCCCTATGTGTGGAGTTGTATGGTAAAGTGTAATTATTCACCCAAGCATACGCAAAACTGTGACTGACACCCTCCCTCCATATCAGATGCGGCCAGGCATTCCCTCCCTGCAACTTCAGCTTACAAAGGGGAAGGAATTCTCTTGCAGCAACTGATTGGCTGGCGGGGGGTGTCCATCACAGTTTTGCCAGGAAAACTCTGGTGAAATGGATTCACATCCATACCCCCCACTCGCGCATCACTATTTAAGTGTTTGTGTATAGTTCTAGTTGGATACCGTAGGGAAGGGTTAAAAAAAAACCCTCTGCCAGGTCATTACTTTGCAGTCACTTACCATTGGGGAAATTTCCACTTACGTCCTGTTCAAGAGGCCTGTCAGGAGGTGAGAGGAAATCTCCCAAGGTGAGGGGAATTCTCCTGTTAAGGTGACCACACACATATCGTTTAGCGATGTGCCTGGGCTGGGTGTGATTCCGCACACCTGAGTTCGCCCTCTCAAAGCTGTGACTGCCACTCCTACCTACCAGTTGCACCAGGGGGCATTCCTCGCCCTGCACTATACGTCACAAAGGGGCAGGGAATGTCCCTGGTGCAACTGATTGGGGCAGGAGGGGTGAGGCGGTCACACATCACTAATCTATGTGTGTGTGGCCACCTTAAGAGGGGAACTCTCAATTTGACAGATTTCCTCTCACTTCCTGTCAGAGGAAGGGGTAGAGGAGTGGTACTTTGTGGAGGCAGTGTAGAGGAGGGGGTACCCTGCGGAGGCAGTATAGAGGAGGGGATACCCTGCGGAGGCAGTGTAGAGGAGGGGGTACCCTGCGGAGGCAGTGTAGAGGAGGGGGTACCCTGCGGAGGCAGCGTAGAGGAGGGGGTACCCTGCGGAGGCAGCGTAGAGGAGGGGGTACCCTGCGGAGGCAGTGTAGAGGAGGGGGTACCCTGCGGAGGCAGTGTAGAGGAGGGGGTACCCTGCGGAGGCAGCGTAGAGGAGGGGGTACCCTGCGGAGGCAGCGTAGAGGAGGGGGTACCCTGCGGAGGCAGCGTAGAGGAGGGGGTACCCTGCGGAGGCAGCGTAGAGGAGGGGGTACCCTGCGGAGGCAGCGTAGAGGAGGGGGTACCCTGCGGAGGCAGCGTAGAGGAGGGGGTACCCTGCGGAGGCAGCGTAGAGGAGGGGGTACCCTGCGGAGGCAGGGTAGAGGAGGGGGTACCCTGCGGAGGCAGCGTAGAGGAGGGGGTACCCTGCGGAGGCAGCGTAGAGGAGGGGGTACTCTGCGGAGGCAGTGTAGAAGTTGGGGAATTTTTCTAAGGCTGATGAGAGATTTGTGTGTCTGGTATAGTCAGAGTGGTGAATAGTTATCCGAATATTCTCAGGATCCCAGCACCAGTAATAACGTTCCGCCATCTTTTCCCCACACAGGAATGTAACTTCTCACAATTGTATAACTGGCAAAGAAGCAGAAAAGCCAAGAAAGAGTTCAGCTTGCACGATGGGCCGCCCTATGCTAATGGAGACCCCCACGTTGGACACGCTCTGAATAAGGTAACACTTAATGTTCTCATGCTGACAGAAACACATTAGAGTGAGAGAATTAAACAGCTAAAATAGATGACATTTCATACAAAAGTACACTGACACTAAAGCTTCGGACAAGAGCTTAACCCCGAAAGATTGTAAACAGATTCTAATTTGGAATATTTACTGCAGATGTCAGTGTGACTTTGATTTGTCTTTCAGATCCTAAAGGACGTTACAAATCGTTTTCAAATGATGCGGGGGCACAAGGTGTCCTATGTTCCGGGATGGGATTGTCATGGGTTACCCATAGAACTGAAAGCCCTGGCTGAACTTGGAGACAAAGCTGACAGTCTGTCACCTATGGAAATCAGAAGTAGAGGTATGGAAACATAACGACAGTGATCGGACATAAGGACAGTGACAAGTAACTCGGGTGTACTACAGATATAGAGGAGTTATGATTGAATGAGTCAGGGACAGTTCTTGCAGAAAAGGGGTCCTTTCAGTCCTCAACTAAATAACCTTTAGAGCCCACCAAATTTCCAAGCAGATGTTGTACCTTTAAAGTGTACCTGTCAGACCCTACTAAAGGATAACTATGCTTTTGTATAATTATCTTTTAAGTTAGCACCCCCCTGCCAATGTTTTCTACTCACCTGGCCATCCTCCTGCAGCATCCATGCTGTGCTCAGAAAACTGTCATTCGTTTCTATGGAGACGCTGTCTGTCATTTTGATGTATAATAGCGGGCCTCCCTATAAAAATGAATTGGATTATCTCCACACATGTGCAGAAGAAGGGAGGAAAGGGTGTGGGGAGGGTGAGAATTAAAGTACACTTTAACTTGTAAGCTCGCCTATGGGTAACTTCAGCTGAAAATGTAGGGGTGGAACATGAAGCAGGAGACTGGCACTGGCTTATCAGGCAGAATGATAGTTATCAAGTACCATGCTGGCAGGCTTGGGAGCAACCCACAGATGTGAGATTGGCACACGTGAAGTTCCATCACCGATAAATTGTTCCCAGGTGACATTTCTTAGTCTATATGTGTACAGCACTGACAGTTATACTGCATATGAGGTTTCCACGTTGCCATATTTAGACCCAAAAACTACTGTGTAACTTGCTCAAAGCGTCTCTCTTCCCCCCTGCACTCCTAACCCATAACTGTGTAAAGGATAAAAACTTAGCAATAGTATTCGCTAAATTATCATATGCCGAGAAGAATCTATGTCAATAACAAAAAAGAAAAATCGGTGGGAAAGATTCAGTGTTAAATAAATGTGACATTGTTCAAATATAAAGGAATTTGAGCAAGTAACTCAACATGGCAATTCATGTTTTAAGGGCTAGTGGTATATATATATAAAAAAAAAATAATATATCGCACTAAACTCAGGATTTAAACCTTAAAAATACATTCAAGTACCTTTCAACTATTACCAGAAATGTATCTTATTTGTGTATCACTCGGCTGTAGATCCTCAAATCATCTCTGAATTGGTGCTGACACTGTCCTTCCTTTTGGAGGGTGGCTACTCTTCTTCCCCATGGTCCCTGTGTGTGTTGTAAAGTAGTCACTGCTCCAAGCTTGCTTTAATGATGGACTACAATCTCAATATAAATTAGGTAACTAAACATGAGATTGTAGTCCATCACAGGAGTGAGCTTGGAGCGGTGTTTACTTTACAAAACACACAGGGACCATGGGGAACAAAAGTAGCCCCCCTCCAAAGAAGGACAGTGTCATCACCAATTCAGAGATGATTTGAGGATCTAAACCTCCTATTTTAATGTTATTTTTTTCTGTTTTAGCCAAGGCATTTGCAGAGAGAGCCATAGAGAAGCAAAAAGCATCATTCATTCGCTGGGGAGTGATGGCTGACTGGGAGAAATGCTATTATACCTTCGATAAGAATTACGAAGCAAAACAATTGGATGTCTTCAGCAAAATGCATGAGAAGGTACTGAGCTCTGTGTGCTTGTGATGATTAGTGTAGTATCTCTTCATGTGTCATATATTCTGAAAAATGATTTCGGAGTCTGGCGATCTTTGTGTGATACCTGCGGCTGTTGCCTGTTTGACATTTGGGTAATAAATAAGTGTCTCACTTTTGTCTTGCAGGGACATGTTTATCAGGATTACCGGCCTGTCTTTTGGTCTCCATCGTCAAAGTAAGTCATTAGATTCCTCTTGTGTCAGAGATCCTTATTTTGTGTTTTGTATCTTTTATCTATTTCCTTACTTCTATGATTGTTGGAGTACTTTGTGTATTTCTTCCAGATCAGTGCAGTAACCCAGGGTGAGACTTTACCTCTGTGCAGGAGCTTCCTGTAATAGACCCCTCGCTGCTCTCTTTCCTCATACCTGGTGACCGCCCCCTCCTGTAGTTAGTCTAGAGGCACTGGATGAGGGGGCACAATGGAACCAGTGGAAGGTTGTGGGGGGGGCATACTGGAGGCACTGTATGTGTAGGGGGACTCTGAAGGTACTGGTTGTGGGGGGCACACTGGAGGCAGTGGTTGCTGGTGGAGGCTTCCCTTTACTATCGCCACTTATTGGTAATATTGGTAAATTTAGGACCGATACACCATACATTGATAACACTAATGCACACTGCCTATCTAAAGGTTCTTTATTGATGTAAGCTTCTTAAGTTTTTCTTTTGTACTTCCATATAATACCATGTCATTTAATCCTGTTGTATTTTGTATGTCTCCATTGCTTTTGAATATGATAAAAATAGAATTTGGGGAAAAAAGCTCTTCTCAACCAGGGTTCCTCCAGAGTTTGCTGGGGGTTCCTTGACAAGAAAACGGTGGCTGATTGGTCTCTTGCCTACACTGTAAGGGGTCACTTCTACACTTCTACACTGACTACCAATGTAAGGTGGGAATTCTACACTGACTGCCAATGTAAAGGGTCACCAATACAAGGCCACCAATGTAAGGGGTCACTTCTACACTGATAATCAATATAAAGGGTCACTTCTACATTGACCATCAATGTATGGGTTTATTTCTACACTGAGCACCAGTGTAAGGGATCACTTTTACACTGACCACCAATGTAAGGGATCACTTCTACCCATTGACCACCAGTGTAAGGTGGTCACTTTTGCCCATTGACCACCAGTGTAAGGGGTCACTTTTGCCCATTGACCACCACTGTAAGGGGTCACTTTTGCCCATTGACCACCACTGTAAGGGGTCACTTCTGCCCTGACACTTTCTTAATTTTATTTAAAAAGTTCTATAACCTGCTGATCACACTATTATTCCATGAGTTGTAATTATTTTATATGGTATTTAATATTTTTGTGGGTGTTCTCTGAGACCTGAAAGTCAATTTAGGGATATTTTCATGGTAAAAAGGTTGAGGCTGGATTACACAATGCTCCATTTTTGGGCTGCATCTTGCTACATCTGGTTTTGTGAATTCCCCATGTTCCCTTTTATTCTGACTGTTCAGTTTACTCTTCTCTCTACCTTTTCAGGACAGCACTGGCTGAAGCAGAGCTAGAATATAACCAGCAACATGTCAGCCGATCCATCTATGTAAAGTTTCCTTTGCAGAAGCCTCCTCCCAATCTGGCGTCTGTAATAGGTAATATCTTTGCCCTCTATCTTTCACTCTCAGGTCGCCTTCACATTTTAACTTTTTACTGTTGTACTGTTTAAAGCCCTGCCATGTGCACCTTACTTTAAAGCTGGTTATGCACTGATGAGTGCATTTTCCATTTGTTTTACATCTTGATCCACCAGCACAAAAGTACTACAGCTGTGACTCCACTGCAGTAAGTCGGACCTCCCACAGGGTGGCAGCACTTTACCAGTCAGGGAACTCGATGCAAAAAAAAGGCGCTTCCCCTCGCGAAGAGAATCTTTATTTTATGAAGCAAAATTAAAATTGGTACTCACAAATGTACAAGTAAATCCCACAGTCCAGGGATTGGCTGGTGAGGCTCCTATTTAGGCACACTACGTGAATGGCAATAGGGCTCGGAAGAAGGGGGTTTAGCCATAAGTTGCTGGTGTATATCTGGGGATCCTGGGGATACCGATCCAACCCACTGTTGATGCATGATTTACTCGTACATTAGTGAATAATAATTTTAATTTTTGCTTCATAAAATAAAGATTCTCTGCACTAGGGGAGGCATCTTTTTTGCTTTATTTTCTTCTGTCATGTGACATGTCAAAGTCATGGGACCAGCTCTTCTCTAATCACAAAAGTCTCTCTGCTGCGTTAAACACAGTTAAGTCAGTTTGACACAACATATTCTCAACAGGTCACTGGCACACACAGATGAATGCAATATCTCTTTGATATGTTTATTGAAAAATGTCACAGCATGTCATTAGAAGTTTCAAATCAAAGAGATATTGAATTCATGTGTGTGTGCCGGTGACCTGTTGAGACTATTTTGAGTTTTGCACGGCGCCATCCGTCTGATCACCAGAGCACCACCACCATTGGAAGGTTGCAGACCGAAAGGAGTGCGGGTGGTTCTTGGAAACCAGTTTGACACAACAGACTCCACACTGCAGCCTGCAATTTATGAATAGGCCACAAAATGCAGGCCATGGTGTGGACTCACATTGGGGTCTATAAGGAGGGGCAGATATCAATACCTGCTCTCCATTATAAACGGAGTTCTAAATGTCAATACGTTAGAGTTTACATCTACCTTAGTGGAATTACTGATGAAGGTCATTTTTAGAGTGTGTTGTTGTGCACGAAAACTTCACTAAAATAGTCTCTCATTTGTAGATGGCACCACAAAGGTCAGCGCTCTGATTTGGACAACGCAACCATGGACCATCCCTGCGAATCAGGCTATCAGTTATATGCCAGCTGCAACGTATGTCTCTTTTATTTCCCTTTACTCTTTATTGGCTGTACTTTGAGTTATATGTACATATTTATCTTGTTTTATTTTGGAAGAGGAAAAGCAGCTCTAGCTTAGGAGCTATAAATACACAGTTGAAACACATATTGGGACACTGTTATCCTGTAATAGATTTGCAAAACAATGCATATCCTCTTCTTACTGAGCAGGAAATACAGCCTGCATGTGTAATAATGATGAGCAAATATTGCTGCCTCATATATAGATATAATAAATTATATTGTTTCAGTCAATTCAAAATATTTCATAAAGTAAACATGAAAACATCAATACATAAAGTTACTTATGATGTACTCACTTGAAAAGGAATCAAAGAATTGTGATTGTGCCTTTCATTTTATTATTTGCATTGAATTTTGCTTCTGTAATTCCAGGTATTCTTTGGTGAAGTGCCTGACTTCAGGAGAGCTTTATATTCTGGCTACAGAACTTGCGGATTCCATAGCACTTTCCCTGGGAACCAAATTTGAAATCATTTCAACTTTTAAAGGTAGATGTTCATTTAAATTAGCGGTGGTCAACTTTCTTGTTATGGCGGCATCAGGGGGCGACCCTTGACATCACTGAATACTGTATATAGTGAATATACTGTATATAGCAGGCATGCTACTGCATATGGTACATGACTGTGGATATGGAATAGGAGTTGTTGGAGATCAGGTACATGCTTTAGTAGACAGTCCTAGACTGAAGACACATTACATGAGACTATTATCATGGCAATCACAGCCCCTTTATAAATCCTAGCTACTGCATTTGTGCCAGTGCATGGCATGCCTGTATCTCCTATAGTCAATTTGCCTACCGTTATGCTCCCCTACCCCCCCCCCACAATCCTGTCCTGAGAGGAACCTTGCACACTGGTGGAAACCCACACAAACATGAAAAATACAGGCAACTCCATGCTGATTGTTCCTGGTACCTAGCACTGCACACCACTTAGTCAGGTCATGTTGATCATCATTTAGACCATCACTGGGGTTTTTTTTAAATATTTTGTTCTTCCTTTGTCTCAAGTTGTACTAGAGCTGTTCCCCATCTTGCAGGGTCAGATCTTGAAAATGGATTGTGTGATCACCCCACAATACCAGGACGAGTCTCTCCATTTTTGTCAGCCAACCACGTCTCCATGGGAAAAGGTACAGGCCTCGTGCACACTGCGCCTGCCCACGGCATTGAAGATTACAGCGTTGCTTCTCATCACAAATTAGCAGTGGTAAGTTAATGTGGTCTCATATGGGGACTTCACTTGATGGAGAATGATTATGATACTAAAAGGAATGTATATTGTTTTTGTGTTTTTTACTTGTCATATTCTGACTGGTCTAAAATAAAATAACGATTTGCAGATTTCCTTCTCTCAGGTCCATATAAATTATTGCATATGAATATTCCATAATTACCACTTGTGCAGTCAGCAAATGGCAAGTTATTAGGTGGAGGAACAGCTCCCACCTGTGTTGTAAAATTAGCCTGATTAGTATATTAGACCTAATGCAGAATGATACACAGGAGGGCCCATTCTCTCTCTTACCTAACAGAGTTCCCTTACAAAGCTCCATGTGACTAACTCGGATACACACAGGTTGTGTAGTATCATTATTGTCCAGTGCAATGAATCGGACTGGTGGGGAGTTTGGGAGAGTAGATTACGGGCTCCTTATTGTCCCTTCTCCCATTGACAACCAATGTGGTGGGGATAATTTCCCTTACTTTCCCTTGTATTGGCTAAGTAAAAGTTTATTTTTAACGCTTGTTATGGCGGTGGCAGTTCTGGCATGTACACTAAAGCTGGGTACACATGAAGTGAATTTTGGCCTATTCAGCAGAAATCAGACGAAATTCCATCTGTGGTTGGATGATTATTGGATCAACTTTTCCAATAGAAAATGCTGGAAAATCACCAGCTGAACAGTGCTGCATCACCAGCTGAACAGAACCACTGTCAGAATACAATGTACACAGCCGGGGATCAGTTCATCAACACTGTTGGTGGACGGAGGAATCTGTCATCGTTTTTATGTGTTCAACCTGCAAGGCTGAGTGCAAAACATATGCCAGTGTGTACCCAGCCTAACTTACAGCCATAATAGCATCTGAGAGCTTGTTTACATTTTTCGCTGAGCTGCCGGATTTATTTTAGAATGATTTGGGCATTTGTAAAACCAACTGATTACTTCTACATACAAATACATGTGTAGCTGCGACCCGCCCCCCACCCACAATGTGTCCGGGGTTTACTTTTCCCTCCTGGGTGCCTGAGATGTCCATGGCAGGTGTCAGGGTGGAGAGTGGCAGGAGAGCAGTGAACTTCCATTTGCTATTCTCTACTATATAGTATGATCCAGGAAGTGCTCAGCTCTAAGCACTTCTGGGTTCACAGCTCTCATCAGGGAAGCAGCAGATTGATAAAGTGTGATAAAGTAGGTTTCTGATTTTAGAGAAAGTTGACAAACACTTAAATGATTTTATTTATCTTCTTTTGGAAGGACTGCCTGGTGGATGAAGCTGGCTGCTACACCTCTAAAGCAGGGGCTGACTTAGAAAACAAAGCTGTACTTGAAGATGGCAATGAAGCTGGTATGTGCTATGCCAATTTTTAAAATACCACGGGACCTCCAGATTGACACTCAGTGACAGATGACAGAGCTCACCCATTATATTGCAAATCAGCAATAAATCCTTAGTCATATATACAATGTGGAGTGGAAATATAAAAAATAAACGGGGGCTCAGTCTACTCGTCCCTCATGACAACCTAATTGTAGTACAGAAAATAATTTTAATCAAAACCGTATTTAAAGAAACACTTCTTATTGGTCAGCGCTGTCAGGTGACCATGCAGACCGATGAGTGTCTGCAATTTGTGAGCAAAATCCATAGTGCAGGGCTGCACTGAACGGCAGTAGGGATAGTGCATTTGTACCGGCGGAGGGTAAGGACCGTTCACCTAAAGGTAAGTTATAGCAGTGTGGGGGGCGGGGGAGGGGGCCATATTTGGGCGGGTAATTCCATTTTCTCAAATTACTTGGGAAAGTAAACTTGCCCTATATCCACATTGTGCATGTTAGAGAGCGCTGCTGTCTGGCTACCACAATATGGCACACAGTGGAATGGGGGCAGCACTCGGCACACACAAGCAGGCTGCTAGCAGTCATCTGGAAGGCCGTACAATATCAAGTTTTCATCATGGTCCCACCCCTCCAACATCCAGAGTCTTATTATTGTTGCCACCCCTCCAACATCCAGAGTCTTATTATTGTTGCCACCCCTCCAACATCCAGAGTCTTATTATTGTTCCTTTAATGCAATGTACAGCATGATTAAGGACACCGGACAGGATGAGGACAAGCTGCACCTTTACAGGAAAATGTACGCCTTGCATATAATATCAGTTGCCTATGTCCCAGAATTTGCTGATTATTCCAACATGCCTTTTTAATTGAGGATTATCTTTGCCCATGTGTTCTTTCATCATAGGGTTAGTTTGAATTGCCCATTTATGTGAAAGTTTTGTCTCCATTTATATGGACTATTCCTTTTAAAGTTTAATTAAACCCTAAGTTAATAGCTAATACTTGTAACGGGTATACATGGAATATAAGGACTTTTAATTATAGAAAAATATCACGCCTTTTAAAGCACCGCGACTTTCTCTGCTACTTCCACTGGGTTCATAAGCGGCACAGATATGGATGCACTTCTTTAACTTACACTGGACTACATGTCCAATGCTCCCTTGCAGTTAGTGGGCGGCTCTGAGGCTTATCCTGTAGTGAAGGGTTATCTGTTTGTGCAGGTGCCCTGTGCGTCTGCGTGTACAGCTGTAGGCAAGGATGACCACGCTGCTTCTACAAAAACTCACGCTAGGACAAAAAGGGTTTTTTTCTGTTACAATCAGCTGATATAAATTTAAGCAAAGAAAGTTTGGATTGAAAAAAATGAACACCATTACAAGAGTAACTGTGGGGTAAGGTAGCAGAAAACATATTTTTTATTATTGAGTTCAGATTTTTGGTTTTAGGATGATTGCAGTTTTATTTCTGCAGTTCACAATGTGTTTTTTATTTCCAGTCATACAGATGTTACTGGGTTCTAAGAACCTGCTAAAGGAGGAGAGCTTTGTACATAGCTACCCATATGATTGGAGGACCAAGAAGCCTGTTATCTTTCGTGCCAGCAAGCAGTGGTTTGTCAGCACCGCCAACATTAAAGACAAAGCTCAGGTAAGAGCAATCTTTTGTAAGGCCGCTAAATTAGTTTTAGATGTTGATTTGTTCATATCATCTGCTGAAGGGTTTTTGTTAGGGATGCACCGATACCGGTATTTTGGTACCGAGTACAAGTACCGATAATTTTTTTTCCGGTACACGCCGATACCAATTACAGAGTAAAGGAAGTCCCATTCAGGAAGCCAGGTGGCGTGTAATGACTCGCCACCTGGTTTTTGTTAGGGATGCACCGATACCGGTATTTTGGTACCGAGTACAAGTACCGATAATTTTTTTTCGGTACCCGCCGATACCAATTACCGACCGGTCAATTGCGAAAGCAGGGTGTCGCGTCATTACACGCTGCCCGGCTTCCTGATACCGGAAGTACTCGTGCTAGGCATCGGAGCATTTGGGCGAGTACGAGTACTTGCCCAAATACTCAGAATCGGCACCGATATCAATACTAGTATCGGTGCATCCCTAGTTTTTGTAATCTAATGCACTATTTTTGTTTTCTATTGCCTTTTAAAAGAACCCTAAATGAAACTTGTGTACAGTACAGGAATAGGGGAGTTTCCTTTGCTGACTTGATTATAAAAGTGCAGGTTCACAGTTACCTTGACCCTGACTTCACTGCTTAGTGGGTCACTGATCTGGAACAAGAATGAAACTGGTGCAGTCCAAAGATTCTGAAGGGTATTGGCCTTTACAGTATACTTGTTCCAGGTCACTCACTCCCTGGACTTCAGGAATAATATAGGGAGTATATAGGGGAGGACTGGGGACTTTTAGCCTGGAAAGGTGGGGGTACTGATCTCTGAACGCTGTGTCCAAAAACGTCAGGTAGAGGGCAAATGACTAATCAACAGTATGGTCTGTGGTCTCCCTGCAGCTGACCTTTCCCCACTGCTAAATTACCATGTCTTGTTCTTCACTGTGTATCTGTGTGGAGACAGCCATCATGGTAGAGGCAGGGCTTTGCTTCCTCATGTCAGAGCCTCCAGCAAGGAGAACAGTGAGCAGCACAGTAATGACATCACTAAATCTCACTCCCAATCTGAGAACAGCAGCCAGCAGTGCCTTAGATACCACAATGAACATATACAGCTATGAGGCTACAAAACAAGAGTCCCTAAGCACCCTCACATGCCAGGAACTGCACTGATATTTATCAGGAGGAATTCAAGACACAATTTACCTTTTTAAGGTACAACTTAGGCAAAATGTAACATTTCTAAAATCTCCCTATAACAGGGAAAATTTTTCTGAAAATGTTTGCGTTCAGTTGCTGTATAAGTCTGTTATAACAAAAGAAAAATGTTCTGTAGGGCCATTACATACCACTAGCTGGATTGTGTCTGCCAGGATCATTGTTCACCTATTGATATAAATACTAAAAAACCTTGAACCCAGAGGAAGGCCAAGATGTTTGTGGTATTGGGTCACTAATGGCTGTCTCTACATTATGTGTATATGAATGACTTACATTTTTTTTTCCTTCCAGGAAGTTTTAAAGAAAGTGAAATTTGTTCCGGCCTCAGCCACCAACCGCATGTTAAAAATGCTTGAAGACAGAACGTACTGGTGTATATCGAGACAGCGTAGTTGGGGGGTCCCAATCCCAGTATTCTATCACAAGGAGACACGAGAGCCACTGATTAACAGGTAAGTGGACATTCTCTGTTTAAAGGTCTGTCAGCCATTATGACACACAGATAGGCACTGGGTAGAGTATTTGAAGTATATGTAAACATTGGGTTTAGTAATTTACAAAAAAAAAGTAAAAAATGACTTACTGCTTCCTTATTGGTTTTAAAGTGCACGTGTCGGGTATATTGGTGTGTGTTCAGGTTCTCCAATCAGTATGTCCTTCCTACACAGGTCTGACCCGAATGAAGTCTGAGCCATATGTAATAAGGTCTGTTTGCTGTGTTTACCCCCAAGGTTTACCCCCATAAACTTCCTGTTCTCCTCTGGTTCTGGATCCTATATCTATGTGTCAGTGGATCTCCAACTTTCTTACTGGCAGACCACAAGCAGTAAGAATGGGCAGACATGTATCAGCCTTCAATAATTTAATTTTTAATATTTAAATTTTAAAATTGATATTTTATTTTGTGATGTAAAAGTCTTATATTATTATTGATTCTTCTCTCTACTTGTTCTCCCTCTCCTTCTTGCAGTCGTGTAAGCATTTCACTGCATATCATACTTGTACGATTGTGTATGTGACAAATAAATAAATCTATCTATCTATATGCATGCTATATACAGGGCCTTGACTTCTACCCTAGTACTAAGAGTTAGGTTGGGTACACGGGGTTTGAATTTCGTAACGCAGGTGCCGATCTGTTCGGCATCCCTTGATCAGCTGATCGAAGGAGCCAGTTGGAAAATTCTCGACCGAACACAACTAGCTGCCATTCAGCCGCAAGTTTGTTCGACTGCAAACAGCAGGGGATTCGTCCGGCAATGCTCGTAAGCGTTGATGGAGGAATTTGTTCCATTTTTTTTTTTCTTATTTTGTTCAGCCCGCAGGTTGAACAAAAAATATAGAACCAGGTACACACAGCTTTAGGCCCTGTCCCATATTTCAACAGTTCAGAGACTATAACGTTTAAAGAGTGTTGTGTTTTTGTACATAAATTATTTCTTTTTTACAATGGTTAAGGGAGAAAAAAAGTAAATATGAAATATTGTTTATGAATGTTTCATTGTTACAGTTCTCAGCCAGCAGGTGGCGCTGTAGGCTTCTTTTCAAATGTTTACCAGGATAAACATGTAACCAGGTGGTCTGCACTCAGGGGGTTGGTACAGTTGTCTTGTAAAGCATATCTGAACCCATGAACAAAAATGTAATGTATTGCAGCTTACTAGTCCTTGGATGTGGTGGCTGCATTAGTTTTCCTGTTTCAGTAACACACTGCCAGTCCTAGGGTGACAATACTTATTCAATGTACAGGGGTGTGGAAATTTAAAAAAAAACTACTTGTCCAAGGGCTAAAGCGGGGGCCAAATCTACTCGTCCGTCATGACAATCTACTTGACCCAATACAAAAAAATAGTTTTAGTCAAAACTAAGGATGCACCAATACCGTTTTTTCGGTATCGAGTACCGATTTTTTGCTTTCGAATCTCGCCGACACCGAATACTAATACCGGTGCTTCCGCTGGCATGGAGTGGGCTTCCCTGGTAATCAGGAAGCCGGGTAATGACATCCTGCCCAGCTTCCTGATTGCCATGGAAGCCTGCTCCATGTTGTTTGGCCTGCTTGATTGTGATTGGCCGGGAAACCTGCTTCCCGGTCAATCAGGAAGCCGGGTGGCGAGTAATGACCTGATTGACCGGGAAACTGGCTCGATGCTGATTTGGCCAGGAAGCCGGCTTTCCAGCCAATCAGCAAGGAGCCGGCTTCCCGGCCAATCAGGAAACCAGGAGGCGGGTCATTACTTCCTGATTGCACGGCACTGCCAGTCAGAGGAAATTTTCATCTGGCCGTAAGTTCCAATATCGGGGAAGGTATCGGAGCATTTGGGTGAGTACTAGTACTCGCCCAAATACTCTGTATCGCACTGATACTAGTATCGGTGCACCCCTAATCAAAACATATTTGACTATGCTAAATAGCGCTTCTCACTGGTCAGCGCAGTCATCTGACCACGTTGACCAATGAGTGCTTGCAATTTGCGAGCGAAATTCAAAATGCATAGGGGAGGACTGCGCTGGACAGCAGTAGGGGGACAGATAGTACACCCATACTGGGGGAGGGGATGGATTGTTCGCCGAAAGGTAAGTATAGCCAGGGGGGTGGCGGTTTGGGAGAGACGGGGCCAGATTTAATCGGGTAATTTTTATTTTTCCATATTACCTGGGAAAATGAACTTACCCTTTAATGCACATTATGTGTGTGTAAGAGAATTCTGGCTACCACCATGGAATGGCGGCTGCAATCTCAAAGCACATGCAGAATGTCCTATGCATGCATTTATTTGCATGCAGATGGTGGGGGCAGCAGGGTTTCATTTTTATTTTATTTTTTACTTTTTCATTTTTTTTTTTAAATCTTTATATATTATTTTTTTAACTTTTTACATTTTCATTTTACTTTTTCCACTTAATGTTCTTCCTATCACATAGGGGATTAAAATCCCTTTATGTGATAGTTTTGGAGGTGACAGGTTCTCTTTATGGAACCTGCCCTCCAACACAGAACATCTGTTCTGTGTAGTTCCTGACAGCCGAGACAGGTGGCGCTGTGGCCCGTAGAGCAGACGGGTGGCCCGTAGAGCAGACGTTCTTTGTCTGCTCTATGGGCTCTATGGCTGAGTCGTTGTGCCGTAGTTTTCGGGATCTCCCAGGAGAGCGGGCAACCCCGAAAACTACAGCCGGGGGTGCGGGCAAAAACGATCGCCGCTGCTCAAATTGATACAAGTGGTCTGATCAGACCACTTGTAGTAAACGAGCGGCGGCGGCTCCACAATGTACATTCAGCTCTGCTTGTCCGGAGCCGGGCTAAATATACATAAAAACTACTCGCCTGGCGCCCGAAACTGCATGTCCTGGGCGTCGGGTGATAGGAATTCCACACCCCTGATGTATTTTATCTATGGAGGAGCAGCATTGTCACCCTAGGACATAAAGTGTCTTGGAACTATTAAATTCTATCCCGCTCATCTTCTCCAAAACTTGGAGAGGAGCTTTAGTAGTCCACAGAAACAACAAAACCCTTTCAATGGTAATTTAACAGGTCATAAGGGAGCAATTAAGACCGTTTCACTGTTAGGCCTCATTCACGCATCGTCCGGCACGTACAGCTCCGTGCTGCGTGCAGGGCCATATCGGGCAGCTCCCGGGAAGGACAGGTGGGGCGTGTGATCAGTACGCAGCCCGTCCTTCTCTATGGGACTACGCAGTCGTACACTGCCCTACACTCACCCTCCTACATGTCCGTGGGGGTGTCCTGGCTCGGACGCAGACAGGATCCATCCTGTCAGCGTACGAGTAAGGACACCCGCGCGGACATGCAGGACGGGTGAGTGTAGGGTGGTGTACGACTGCGTAGTCCCATAGAGAAGGACAGGGGCTGCGTACTTCCGGGAGATGCCCGATACGGCCGTGCATGGAGCTGTACGTGCCGGCCGATTCCAGTGTGAATGAGGCCTAAGGCCCCATTCACACTGAGCGATTTATCGCGCGGTAATTCCCGCGATATCGCAGCTATTTACCGCGCGATATCGCTCTCCAATGCATCTCAATGGGGCTCTGTCCGTCGCTGTCGCGGGTCGTGCGTCGCTACAGCAGAACCCTTTTTGGAGCGGATTTTGCCGCCATTCTAGCTTGCGCGATATCACGCGACAAACGCGCGATTTGCGAATCACTCAATGTGAATGGGGCCTAAGGGTCTGCCCACACTTTAAAGGGAAACTGTTTTGAGAAATATATATATATACTGCCATCACTGACCTCCTTCAGATAATGCTTGGCCGTGTCTGGTCTGTTTTGCTTTCTCCTGACCTTCATATTGTGGGCGGAATTTATCAAAACTGGAGCAAACAGAATCTGGAGCAGTTGCTTATGGCAACCAATCAGCATCTCTCTTCAGTTTGTTCAGGTAAGATTTGAAAATGAGACAGGGAAGCTGATTGGTTGCAGTGCAACTCTGCTCCAGTTTTGATAAGTTCCCCCCACAGTATGTTCTAGTTCAAAAGTTTGGTAGCTACTGTAACCAATGGATCAGCATGAGAGCCAAGCACCTAGTATTTTCAGAATTAAAGATCAGCCATGGCCATCCTTGTGTTTCCCATTAACACAGATTTCTATGAACCATTTTGCTGAAATAAAGCCTATTTCTTTTTAGAGTTTAATTGCAGAAGCTCAGATTACACATGCAGCTGAGTGAGTCAGATGAGTAACTAATGTTTCTTCTCCCCTTATGTCTCCTTGGTCTGTTGGATCTGTATAGAGTTTCAATTAGAGAAAGGCAGCCAAAAAGGGACAGAGTTTCTGCTACGCTCACTTTTTAGACCACCTTTAATTTATTCATTGTCATGGGCGCACACTGTGCTGAATAGAAATAAAAAGACAAAACACACCAGTTTAAAAACATGTTGACTAAAACAATTGCCCCCAGACCATTATATTTTACACCTTCAAATGTTGGGAGGACTTAGCTTCATAAAGAGCAGAAGTCAAGGACCGGGGCACATTCCAGGTAAAAAGCTTTCATTTCACGGATCATGGAAGGTACTTGCAGCCACCACAAGGTACCTGTATGTTGTCAGCAGTGTAAGTTTGCACACAGTAATGTCCTTGACAAGTACACTTACAATCGTGGAATAGGGAGCTGTAATGATGAATGTAATTTGCTTTCATTTACTTTGAATGTAACATCAGTTTGTATGTTTGCCTTGTATGTTCTTGTCACTAAGGTGTCCCCTTCTTTCCTGCGCTGCTTTTTATATGCTATTTAACAATTTATTAGTTGTGATTAAGAGCGCTGTTACTGGACAGGAGATGGACTTTCCAGAAATTGTACCTTTTTAGTTACCAATTGAAACTTGGATCTGAGTTGTGCACAAAAGTGGCCCGCACCTTAGAGGTATCTCCTCATTTTTTGCAGGATTTTGACTTTTTACATTTTTTAATTGGTTTTCTTTAATCGTCT